ACTAATCTCCAATGTACAAATACTAGTGTATAGTGTATTATTCCATGTACAGGTGTTACATTTACAATAAACTGCTGCTTATTAACCCTGGACTTATACACCTTCATAAAGGGTTTTAGGAGGGATACATTATAAATCTCAGCGACTTATATCCAAGGCTTATAACTCCACAAAAAGAAAGGGTTCTCCCACCACAATCTGCTTTCTTCATTAGGTGCACGGAGACTAGGAGACATCCAAACTGTAGATTGTAAACTATCACACCAGACAACAACAAAAGAATTCTACAAAAGAGACCAGCTCTTGAACTGGGGTGTTGGAACATCCGGACCTTGACGTTGGGCCTCTCTGAAGATCTTCAGGACATCAATGACACCAGGAAAAGGGCTGTCATGAACAATGAGCTCAAGAGACTGAATGCTAATATCACCATCATCCTGCAAGAAACATGATTGGCAGGCACAGGGACACTGAAGGAGAAGGACTTTAGGTGCAGCGAGGAATAGCTTGCTGAACATGGTGAAACTGGGGAGCAGTGCCGGTGGTTCTGAATGACTCCTGACTCTATGCCTGAACACCACCTAAGGCCCACTCTGTCTGGACAGTGAGTACGCCCAAACATTGTTGGCTCTCACTGACACAAAAGATGCATTCTACAAGAATCTTGCATCAACAATCTTGACCATCCCAAGCTCAGAACAACTTGTTCTCCTGGGTGACTTCAATGCCAGAGTGGGTGCAGACAACGACTCGTGGCCCTCCTGCCTCATCAGAGATCAGCTGTTTGCTGACGACGCAGTAATTGCAACTCACACCCAGAAAGAATTGCAGTCACTGATGAAACTCTTCTCTCAAGGACTTTGAGCAGACTATCAGCATGCAGAAGACAAAATAATGTAATGGGACAAGATATGCAATCACCGCACCAGCCATCACCATCAATGACTACAACCTTGATTCCGATCACCAGTTCGTGTACCTTGGATCAACAATCACCGATAACCTCTCCCTGGACACTGAGATCAATAAGAGGGTCAGAAAGGCAGCTACAACACTCACTTGCCCCACATCTCATGTGTGGTCAAACCTCAAGTTGACAGTGAAGACAAAGATGGCTGTGTACAATGCCTGCGTGACAGCAAAAGGGGCTCAGCTCCTTCCACCTAAGAAGCATTTGCTGCATATTGGGCATATCCTGCAAGACAAAGTGACCAACGTTGAAGTCTTGTCTTGTGCTGGCCTTCCCACCATGCACACCCTACCGAGACAATGCCAGGTGCACTGGTTAAGCCACGTTCGTCACATGGAAGATGGCCACATCCCAAAGACATCCTCTAAGGAGAACTTGCAACGGGACAAAGAAGCATTGGCTGCTTGCAACTGAGATTCAAGGATGTCTGTAAGAGAGACATGAGGACCCTCGACATCAACACTGAGTCCTGGGAAGACCTAGCAGCTGACAGTGGCAGTTGGAAAAACACTCTCCACAAACAACTAATGCTGGGCAAAGAAAAGCTGATAGTGGTGGAGGACGAGCAGCAAGCTCACAGAAAGGATCCCACCACCAGACCTGAAACCACACACAGATGCAACCTCTGCAACAGAGACTTTCCCTCAGTCAGATTGGCCTGTTTAATCACAGACAATACTGCTCAAGCTGATAGCCTGGACAGATCTACCCATGGTTGACCCTGACCAACGTGGGCCTACTACTGCTATTACCTAAAGTTTATGGCATGCTGCACTTACCTGAACTCCGTCACCATGGTGAATATCAATATCAACATACAAAACACGTGAATGATACCTGTTCAAAATGAAAAACCAATATTATTAATGTAAAAAACACGATTCATAAACATAAGCAACATGCATATTAAGTTTAATTTTTGTTGTTTGAAACTCATTTGGTGTTCAGTTGCACTTAATAAATACATGTATCAACAATTATTGTTTTTTTCCAAGTCCCTTTTCCTTTTGAAAATCAAACATGACATTTCAGGTGCTTGCTTCACGTTAGTCACAGTGAGGTAATGGATTTTTGGCTCCAAGTCAGATTTCAATGCACAGAAATTTGGTGGGAAAATGAAAATGCAGTAACATGAAAAACAAGATTACATGTAAGTGCTGCTAATTATTTAAAAGATAAATATTTTTCAAGATTCGTCTGTCTTTCAGTGGTACCTTTGGTGCTGTCTTCAAAATAGCAATACTTTGTACGGTATGCAATAAACTATTTTGTTCTGTACGTGTACATTACAGTGGGAGATGTTTTAAAAGAAAGAGAGTTTGGCCACTTTTAAATGTGCTACAATGTTTGAAAAAATATCTTACTCACTTCAGAAGTTCCAGGATTGCAACCACAATGTCATTCACGTAACAGAAGCCTGATGCCTGCAAGGCAACAATAATTTCTGGTGTTTGAATTCTCCAGGTTCTTCTTTAATATAAATATACAGTCTTGTGTTTGTACACTGTTGGACGGCCGAATTTCGAGCAAGTCCCCAATGCAATCCTAAAGGTCTGGTGTACGTGTCTTTAAATTCCAACCCTGCTCGCCATTAGAGTTCCAGTAACTCAGTGGTTAGAGCATCCAAACTAGAACAAGGAACTAAACTGGTCTGACAAGTTTTGTGGTCACTATTTACAGTGTATAACATGTGTGTTTACAGTCTAAATGATTAAAAAAACACTATAAATTAAAATAATGGACAGATAGGGTCTTAGAGTACAGGTACAGAATCACCTGAGAAAACAAACAAACCCTTTTGTTTCCAGATGTTAAGATTCTGCCAGGTTTTCAGTATTTTGAACAGCATACACTCTACATATTAAGCAGTTTTCATGTGTTTTCTGAGAGATTTCCAAAGACATTTAAAGAGCATAATTTACAAGAACTAAGAACACAATGTAATTCACCCACATACCTCACATTTCTTTGCATGATGCAGCCCTCCTGCCCAGTTGATAGCAATATCACAAACCTATTGGGTAAAAAACTTTGACAATCAAATTTCAATGCAAAACACAAACATAAAAACCACTCATTGTTTTCACTAGTCTTACATGTAAGGGGAAGATTCTCATTACTCTGGTTAGAGTTACACTGTACATTCTTATGTAAATTATTGTTATTAATAGCAACTGAATGAAATACAATGAGTCAGATCTGAGATGAAATAGTTCATGTCTGAAATAAATCCAAAAAGTAACATGTATACTGAAGATTCACTGTCAAGAACCTTCATCATACATTTAACATAAAGTTAGTGATAATACAGACACCAAAGATACATGCCATGGTGTCCATAATTATTACATGACTGTAATAAAGAAGACTCTCGCAAAAAAACATCAACAACACATACAGGTATAATTAATATTGATATAAAGATTAAAGCAGACAAAGAGGGTGGAGGGTACGAACAATATGGCAGGGAAAACTCTAGGAAAGACAGGAACCAACACTAGACATGTATTTTAGTTCCAGTAGTGTCTGTTTTATACTTGCAGTGAGTCAACTAAAAGGAGTAAAGAAAAGCATTAGGACCAACTCAAGCTGTCTTTTTGTTCAAAGTGCGCTGTCTTTTAAGAGACAGTTAACTAACGACATACCCCTTGATTAAGCCTCACGGCACCTTCCAAGGATGCTCCCGTGTAAATAGAACAGAAATCAAACAAACCAGAGAACACAGGGCTAGAAACAAGTAAATAATCAAAGTCAGCAAGTTCTCTGTTATTAAATCTTCCAACTCCCCATTCCCCCAGACCCAGCAAGTTAAATACAATGTAATGTCATGACAAAATACCAATACTTCATTATTATTTTTTACACATTCTGCTATGAAAACAACAGGTAATTTTATATTGACCTTGCATAAGCAGTTTGGATGATACAATGTGTACATGTATAAATTACTAAATAAATGGTGAATGTCTCTCCATCATGTGCTGACTACAATGTACATAGATAGAATGCAGCAACACCATTCTGCCCTTACAAGTCAGGGGCGTGTTTCCTTTTACTAACTCAGATTTTTTCTTTATTCCATGCTCATGACAAGGACCACTCCTTTATTCTTTTGTGGACTGTGTTGTAAAATAATTTAAAACCAATCATTTTTTTATCCCATAAAATTTTATGTCTGGCCTTTTATACACTGTAGATCATAATATTATCTACAGTACATATCACAGTACTTGTCAATGTTAACATGGGATTGTTGTACATGACTGTAGAACAAAAATAAGCATCTGGAGAGATTCAGGTTGACAGGTATGTCGAATTATTTTTAACTACCAGATTTTTTAACACCATAAAGCTTCTGAAAAACAAGAGGCTAGATTATTTTGTCCTGACCAATATAATATTTTCATTAAATCTGGTTTGGGAAATCAATTTAGGAAGATTCTTTTCTTTGGACTACTTTACCACCAACAGTAGTGTGAAAGTTTATAAAATTTAATATCTCTGCTTTCAATGTGTGGACAACATTTAGGATCCTTGTTCAATCAAAGTCTTATGCACTGATGTGCAGCCTCATTTAGGAGTCAAAAGAGCTCTAATGTACCATTATACAGTGACAGGTACATGTACCAGTATGTTACAGTTTATACATGCATCTGTCATGAATGTACCCACCAGTCTTCTCCAACATTAAAATTGTTTGCCAGTTTGCTCTGTCCTCCTGTATTTTGTGGTGTTACCCTATAGAACAATTACATTGTAGCACAATAGGTTTATGCAGAACATGAAGAAAACCAAGGCTTATTCTTAAGGGAAATCTCCACTCTTACCATAAGATATCAGGTATAAAATAAATATTCTACTAAAAATAAAACAAATAAGGTGAGAAGAAAATATTTAAATGTACAAAGGAATGGATAATACGTGTAGGGACTTCAGGAACGTCAGCGGCAAAGTAAAAAAGCAATAGGTTTAGTTAGCAAAACAACAACTCTGCACGCGCATCACGCTGTTTTGTACATTTCTTTGCCACCCTGCACAACTCCGACACGAAATGACCAAATTTTATATTTTTTTGAGGATGGGAACAGCAAGACGATAAATTCTACTATCTCTTGTTTGAACTCACGAGCGGCCCCCTCTCTTCAGTTCTAATCTAAAATCCCTTCTTTTAAGTAACAGGGTAACTTGGGAAAATCGCGAAATGGTTTGAAAGGATGCAGAGTCTACTTTTCAGTGACGTTTTCATGGATGTCGCCAATTGTTGGATCGTAAGGTCCCTAACAGTACATGTTGATGGCCACCTATCATTCTTTTTTACATGACACACGTAGATGAAAAAACAATTTATATTTAATTATAGTTGCCCCATCAAAGAATACACAAAAATGTACACTCAACTGTACAAAAAATGATTGTACATGTAAGGTTAAGGTAAAGGTTTGTTAATAGTGGAAGTGTCCACGGATTTCCAGCTAGTTTAGTTGCACTCTACTCAAATAAATTATTACAAAAGAATCAAATACATATAGCACAAATTATAACGGGATTAAAAACCCAGATTGACAGAAAGCAATCAGTTGGTTAATTTACGACGTATAAGTGTAACCAAGGATTTGAACTCAGATAACCAAGAAACAAATCCAGCTAGTGGTTGGACCAGGACTTGAAATGCTGACAGATGGATCGTGGGTCTGACCACTCTGACAGCCAATGCTGCCTCCACTATCAGTCATGATTCAAAATTATTTTTATTTTATTCCACATTATTTTTGCTTAAAAAGACAAGATGAACAATAGTTACCTCCTAAGGAACTGTATATAATCACTAGAATGAAACCTGCACATGTCATGGTATGTAGCCCTGTAGGGCTTGTACACCTGTGTCAATGAGTAAAAATGTTAATGTTGTTATGGACTGATCATGATACTCAGTTCATTAATGTGGACCAGACCAATATTATTATAACAACCAACATGTTTATAGTATTAATCATCAGGAACACACGGGTCAAATTAATTTGTTGTCAGGTTGCAGGGAGCAAAGAAAATCATTTTTACAGCTTGCCATTCGGGCAAGCTGAAGCTAGCATTTACTAGCCCAGATGTCATTTCAACTAGCCCCAAAAGCTTTTCGTCGAGCAGAATTGATTTCACACTTCTTCTGTTATTCAAATTCCTCAAAGAACATCACTTGCCCGTCGGGCAAGTTAAAAACAGATTTCACTAGCCCGATAGCAAAATCCACTAGCCCCGGGCTTTCGGACAAAGGAAATTGAGGAAATTGAGAATCAAAATCAAAATTAACCTGAGATCAAATTTGACCTGTAACATACAATGTAACCATAATGAGCAAAAAACACCAACAAAAAAGGAGGGTCACATTCCTTGGGCAAGAAGAGATCGCAATTATCATTCATTTTGACAGTTGCTTATGAAATTAGCAGGACAATGACTGAGAATCTGCAATGTGTTACAGTATTCAGTTGAGACATAAAGTACATGTACTAGTTATTATTGAGGATCGGTCAAGAAATAGACTATTGTTTGAGACATCGACTAATGTATTGGCCAGGAACCCCACAAGATATGCAATACCCTTTCTCTCTCCTGTTGACACTGAAATTGATGACTTACAGTGTACTTAAACACTGTCATTTCTTATCTTTGATCCTAATGCCTGGAAAATAAAGAGCTATATGTATGATATAAAAATTACCTCCATTTTCTTGTGAAGATCATAGTTAAAAACTAGGTTATGTGTTAAGGTGAGTCTGTGAGGTTTCATTGGGTGATGAGGGCCTGAAGGTTAAAAAAAAAAACAAGCAACATTTTTAAGCTACAAAAACCAACAAATTTAACAAACATTACAACTACAAGACAAAGGATAAAACAAAACATGTTTAGTCTTCAAATCCAACAATACATATTGTGATATTATTTTTAACTAACAGATGACAAATAGCATCCCAGAGTTGCTACAGAAGATTACGTTTGGAAGTGATCACTTTTGGAATCTACCACATGTACAGTTAGCTACAGTCTCAGACAACAATAGTTGGGACACTTCCACCCAACCCTGTTTTTTTTTACTTCTGGCCCATCTCCTCGTCCTCCCAATGTTGTTTATCGCAGTTAAATCCAAATCTTGCACACCAACATTGGGAGGGTAAGAAGACAGCAAAGTGTCCCAACAATTTTGACTGAGACTGTACCATCAATTTTTAAAGTTATATTTTTGACTTAAGAATAATACAGAGGTGTGATCACTGAATCTTTTTAAAATTATAAGAAATTTGCCTTACTTTAGACCACCACCAAATAATTATTAGGCACACAGGAAGTAGATATTTATAAGAGGCCAATTATATGGCTAGTTTCAGCCCCTGGTCATTTAATACAGAACAGCTCAGAGATAAGCAACCAACGGACGCACAAAACACACGCACGTTTTCTGTGTTAACGCAAAATCATTAATTAGTTTGAAAGTGCATTTTTAAAACTAGCTTACGCTTTTGTTATGCACTGTTTAATGCTTCATTGTTTTCGCTTTGTTTTCCCTGCCCCAGGTAACTACATGTGTAACAGATATAAAATCGAGAACAAGCTTAGCCTATCGAGAATCGAGTTCAGGATCAAGTTTCGCGAGACAGGAAACAAAAGATTCACCCAATACAACACAACACGGCATGGTTTGTCCGCGCAAGCGACTGTATGCTCGAAACAAGACCAATTAAAGTTATAAAGCGAATGCTTCTTCAAGGACGTCTACATCAAGCTTCATTGACACAAAGTCATCTTTCAGCGCCTGTTTGGAATATTTTCGAGGAAATTGAGTTGAATTTTCGTTATTAATTATGATTGAAAGAACAATTCGTCCGGATTTGTGAGTCAGGCATAAGAGATTGTCCTTAATGCGTGAGATCAATGTCTTTAGTCCGCAGGCGTGAGACTGTTGGCAGGTATAAAATTGCTGCATGCATAATAACTGTATGGGGTTATATGGAAATCTTACTTCCCTTGGTCATATGTGGTAAACGCATAAACCCGTTCCAAATGAACATTCAAAGTACCATTTACACCGAAGTCAGGTTAATATTATAGAGCTTCCTTTCATAAACAGAGGTCAATTATATCGGCTTAAATTTCACGGTAAGCAACACAGATTGTAAATCACACCAGACTTTTGATAGAACACAGCAAGCTTATGATTTATCAAAAGCTGTGTTAGTATTAAATAACTCATGTGTCAAAGCACGTAATTTCCAGTTTCTTATTACCGGTATATTAAAAGCTTAGCTGCTAACTTCCAAGGATAAACTCACCATAATGGAAGTTTCCAACGTCCTCGTCGTAAAAATATGCCACTCTCTTCCTATACATCGTAGATTTGCCTTTACCCTTGTACTTTTACTGATCATAATTTTGGAATAAAACTAAATAAAGCCTGAACACCGAGAACGTCCCTCCATGTCCTCCCCATTGTACACGATCTACGGGTCCGCCATGTTGTATGACGTCAGCCGGTAATTCAAACCCAGGCTTTCGGCTTGCCTTAAATATGCAAACAATTTTTCAAAATGGCGGGAAGTTAGGAAAGTGTTTTGCTAAGCAGGTAAGGGACGTTACGTTATTGTTTTGGATTTTTTCAGCTCTTTTTGTAGCTGCCTTCTGTAGATAATGAGTTCAATTTGGTTAAAAGGTGAAAAAATGAACAAAAGTATGTAGAGAATTACAAGAAAATGTTGAGGGGGAACACAATTTTTTTCCGTTTGTCTGACGTCCGTGACTCGACGTGTACATACACGGTTCAGGTTGTCTTCGCAACGTGTAAGCACCTGAGACGATTGCCCAAAAATTTTATTGTAGTTATTTGAGGAAGACACCTTGTTCTTTTTGCTGGTAGGAAAGTTATCGCGCAAAGCCGTATACCAAGTAGTGATTTTTGTGTCTGAAATTTACCATTTTTTTGTCCGTCAAAAATCGGTAAAACAAGTAAAAATAATTAAAATTCTTTAAAATATTAGATTTGCTGTGGAATTGGAAAATTTCACATCGAAACTATTTGTTAAGTTGTGCTCTTTCTATTATGATTTTCAGAGGCAGAGTTTGTTACTTATGTAATTTTTAGCGGAGCTCTCGCGCGCGAAGCGCGCAGCGGAGCACCATGGGTAAGAAAATGTGGTAAACTACCCATCCGAGAAAATTTGGTAATCACTTGACCGTACACCGACCGCCATCCGTCCGCACCACAGGCATAGCAATGTAAAATGACTCAATCAACAGGTATGGCAACCCAAATGCAACTCGAGGTTATTTTGATGGGAAATCGCATAGCCACCCGCGTCTTGTAGAGCAGAAACAACTAAAGAGTCAATAAAGAGGAAATTGGAAATTGTCTCTGTATCCGTGTTTTCTAAAGTATTACTCTTAGATTAATTGTCACGTCCACAAGTTTGGAATATAGAGCAAGAAAAACACAGAGAAAAAGAGAAAGTAGGCGTAGTGAAGCTCAACGAGAAAAAGGGCGACAGAGATTTAGAGTGAGAGACAAAAAACAAAGGAGACATTTTTTTGTTGGAAGAACAACATGAAAATTTTGTAACGGCGGTGACAAAATGCTGCGACTGCCAGGCTTCTTTCATTGGTGAAACCGGAGGAAACCTAAGTACGCGACTGACCGAACACAAACGCGCGATGAGGAATGGTGACGTCAACAATCACATTGCTGAGCACCATTTAAAGATGATACATCAAACTGACTGAGACTCTGCGACATATATAACATATTCTACAGACTACTATCAACGTCTTACTTTAGAAAGCTGGTTTACTAACTTAGAACAAACGCCACTGAATCGTAGCCAACAGTTACCAGCGCCGTACAAGCGACTTATTGACGAGATCAAACAAAACTAACTACGAGAGAACAACTGGAGAACTGACAATTTGACTAACAATAGATGACTCTTTAACTGTGACAATAGACAGATCGAAACACACCAATCACTGATTACGAGTCTTCATAGCCAATAACATCACGGCTTAACTGACAGATGACCAATAACATCGCGACATAATTGACCAATCCGATCAATAACCAGAGTATAATACCATCAACTGACGTGATACAACGCACTTTGACCCTGAAGATGACTACCGCACAGGTTGTCGAAACATCAGTCACTGTGAACAACAACAGTCGTATTCAGGACTACGTTCACCCAGACGATCAAACTCAACCTTTTGAAATGACTCCTGGGTTCAAACCTTTCACAAAATGAGAAATGCTAGCGGCCACCAATGCAAGGTGAAAATGAGCGGCAGTGAAAAAAAGTGAACGAAAAAAACGCGTAACTAAGAAGTTTCTGGAAGTTTCACGTTGTAGTCGTGCAAAACAACGGCAAAGAAGTGTACAAAAAAAGTGTGCTGCACGTGCAAAGTTGCTTTTTTGCTAATTAGACCTATTGTTGTTGTTCACCGTTCTCCGGCGTTGCCTTCGCCGCTTAGTATTACATGATTTTATATTTTGTTTGAACAAACTATAAATATTATCGAGAGCTTTGCTTTTAGCCTTGGCTAAATCTATATATTAAATGATTTTTAAGTAATATATGGTCTTGAGCCTGTCAAAACTGATCTGAGAGCCTCCGAACCGACTCGGTCGCTGTACGCATGAAATAAAAATCCAATCACACTAAAAGTTATTTTTCTAGAAATAGTTTACCTATACCTATATTCTGACAAGGTTTGGCGATTTTCGATTTTTTCATGTTGCACACCCCAGGCGATATTTACGGACGGCCGCTCTTAAGCCCCAGTTACCTGTACCAGTAACTTGACACTCTACGGTTGCACTGCACAAGCAACACATACCTGTAATACCACAGTTTAAGTCAGCCCAGGACCACTCCACCAAGTTGTGTATAGGGATGCTCTGTGCAAAGGCCCTATCTAACCCTTGTCCTTTTTGATACGCACCACTTTTCTTATAGCTCAAAAACAGTTCCATCCAGTAGTTCATGACAGTAGATTTTCTAGCTGGCCAAGTACAAGGGTCCAGGCAAGTCATCCTCTTAAAAAACATAAACTAACACAAGCAGGAAGTGGCCCTGGGCAAGCAAAATCTGAGGAGTGCTTACCCACAGTCTGGAATTCTTGGAATGGTGACCATTTTGAAAAAATTCCTTTAAGTCTAAGGTCTCAGTATCAAAAAATAACATTTTTTGTTTCTAGGACGATGAATTGAATACCTGCGTACTCGAGTTGATAATAGTAAAATAAACTAACTGTGAATGGAACATGATCATCTGGATGATTAAGTTGCAATGTTCATTGGGCCTCTGTCAGTTATGCCGTGGTAATAGTAATAATAATAATAGTAATAGTGTTATTATTATTATAATCATAACTATACAAAATTTGCAAATCTGATTGGCTATCAACTGCCCTGATTTCAGCCTTAATAGGACAGTTTAACTGGACAGTACGCATCATGCCTGGATAGTACGCGCCATCACGCGTGCGCTTAAATGGCTTTTTTTTTTCACTGCTAGCAAAAATCTTGGAATTTCTTGTGTTTTGATTTTAAAAAGAGCTTTATATATCCCAAATTTTGTTAAAGTTATGATTAATTGGTAACAGAACCTTGTGTCGTCCAATTCGGTTTGTAATCATACTCGTGATTAAACAAGTCGGACTCCCGCTATGCAGTCATCCAATGTTGTTAATCACTCGTATGATTACAGACCGAATTGGACTCCACTCAGTCCTGTTACCATTACTAATCATACTCGTGATTAAACAAATCGGACTCCCGCTACACGGTCATCCAATTTTGTTAATCACTCGTATGATTACAAACCGAATTGGACTCCACTCAGTCCTGTTACCATTACTTATTATTATATTATTAGGAATGTTATTATTATTATTATTAGAAATGGTAACAGGACTGAGTGGAGTCCAATTCGGTCTGTAATCGTACGAGTGATTAACAAAATCGGACAACCGCATAGCGGGAGTCCGATTTGTTTAATCATGAGTATGATTACAGACTGAATTGGACGACACTAAGTTCTGTTACCAATATTTATTAATCATAACTTTAACAAAATTTGTGATTCAATAGGCTATTTTTTAAACCAAAACAGAAGAAATTCGAAATTTTTGTTTTGCTAGCAGGGAAGAAAAAAGCTATTTAAGTGCGCGCGTGATGGTGCGTACTGTCCAATTACTTAGGCATGACGCGTACTGTCCTATTACACTGTCCAATTAAGGCTGAAATCAGGGCAGTTGAGAGCCAATCAGATTTGACAATTTTATTATAGTTATGATTATTATTATTATTATTGTTATTATGTATCAGTGACCTAGATCTCAATGTAAAAGTTTTGCACTTTGACCAGAAATTTCTAATGAGGAATTATTCTTGATCTTGCAGCAGTATCCATGTCTCAGAAACAGCAAGTCATTCTAAACACTCCTGCCAGGAAGGTCTTTGCCAGTCAATTGCACAATGACAGCATCCATGTAGATTCCAGCAATCAAGTCTGGCTACAGGGTATTGTAGTGCTAGTGTCTGCAGATGGAAATGATCTGTTTCTTGATGATGGGACGGGTATAATCCAAGCTAATGGAGTTACTAGAATTGTGAAAGATCTCTTCATCCAGAAAGGTGATTACAGCACTTTGTACTCACAATACATTTTCAATAGTTCTTGTTATTTTTAGTTTCTTGTACGCAAACTGGGCAAGCCAGCTTGTGTTTGATATTACAATATTTTCCTCAATGACAAACTGTTTTCACAGTAGTGAGTTGCTTGGAGTGGAGAAAGTAAAAAAATTATGTCAGAGTCAATCAGACTTAAAGTTCCTAAAGAATTACCAAATATGGTACTTTTTGCAAAATCATCTTATTATTGATTTAACTGGAAAAAACACTCTCTTGAAGTGGTTTAAAAAAATTCCAGTAGGTATTGGCATCCTATCTAATGGTACACACTCAGTTAAAATAAAATAATGCAAAGAAGATCATTGAAGTGAAAGATGCAACTTATGCAGTTGTGAAAAGAATACTTTAAAAATTTAGGTTTGCCGGGGTTTCTAACTTTGTCCCTCTTAGCTAGCAGTTGACTTGCTACAAGGCGACCTCATGAATTTCTTAGTGAGTGGAGCAAGCTTTTTAGGCAGCAAAGCAGCCAAGCAGCAAGCGAGGAAGTCATGACAGGTCGACTTGTCTTGCTTGAGGTTTCCATTTGCGTTTCGCGCCAAAAATGGGCCAGGGGAGTGGCTTGACTGGCATTTGGGGTTTTAGGTTGCAATACAAAAACAATCAAAAGTCTGCCAGCTGAACTTCTGTATCTGGTACATCCAGATGCTACCGAAAACCCTGAGAATTACAAAGCAGTTCTTTGCTTTTACTGAAGTGGTTAATGATGAAAAAATTCTTTAATGCTGGTCTAGTAATGTTAACGTATCCTTAACTTGTTACAATGTAGCTCAAAACATGATAACATTTCTTGACTTTGCTATTATCTGGTACTGTCTTTGTACATTTCTCCCTGTCTTAAGTTATTGACTTATGTATTATTATTATTATTATTATTATTATTATTATTATCTGTTACAACCAAGAGTATTATTATTACTGAACTACTCAGGTCGTTTAGTTTTTATATTCTGAGTACCTTTTTGCCTGATTTAGTTAATATTTTATTTTGTTCTTGTACACTTTTATGTAGTAAATACAGTGGTTGTTATTGTTGATTAAATTATTAATTTTAATTTTATTTTAGGAATGTATGTCATGGTTGCTGGTCAGCTGAGGTCAAGTGTTACGATTACAGAGTGTCTGCCCAGCATCAGAGTGTTAAAGATTGCTGACCTAACCAATAATGCACACAGTGAGGCTTTGTGGTTAACAGAAGTTATCCATGCCCAGCTGAAGAGAAGTGCTCCATGAACACTGTATAAATTTACATATTTATAAACGTTAATCCATTTCTATGTATTTCTGCATACACTGGGAGAGAGAAAGGTCTATGGAGCTCACAAGAGACATGGTTTCAAACAGATTGGTGAAAACATTTTCATGATTTTGTAGAGTTTCACATGTCCACAGGACACTGAATCCAGACTTTGTTAGCCTGCTGGGAGCAAACTCTCTATTTTGGGAATGTCATGACAAGTCGCGTGGCTTGTTTCACTTGCTAGTATTGAAATGGTGGGCTTGCTCACAGGTGAAAATCTACTTGTTGCCATGAGGCAAATGTCTGACCAACATTGCAATTCTAAACAATGATCAGTGAGACAATGGACACATAATTATTTTAATCTATTGACATATGGTGTCTCTTGAGAAAGATGTCACTTTGTTGTGTCATGAAAGTAGGACAGAGAAAACGCTCCAAGTCACCACTTATGATAGAATAAAGTACATTGTACTGTAGTAGTTTCAAAAAGAAACTGTGTCAGTGAAGGAACTAAACCCCAAAATTTAGCTTTCAGCTGAGATGATATAGTGAATTTACCACCATAAAGAGATTGAAAAGCTGACGTTTCGAACAGTAGCTTTCGCACTGGGATTCACTCTTTCGAAGGGCTAGCACTAGCTGTAGAAAGCTTTCTTGCAGACGAGATTGCAGCAACTTACAGGTGCCACACCCGAGCCCACATTACCTGCTTTAGCCTCTGCGGGGAGGCTATACCTGCTTGTAAAACCCTACAATTTCAAGAAAATGGAAGAGACAGATTACAGGAGACTTAAACATTTCCCGATCTTGCTGGAAAGCGTGAAGAGGTGAAGGGAACTACAGTCGAAACTGTCCATGCTATAGCTTTGATGAATTACCTAGGTGGTCGCTTACGAGCACTTTCACTGGTCCTGAGTCCTTCCCTTTTTCCCAGATTCAGATATCCTAACCGGATTTTCCAATGTCAACCTTCCCTCGCGGCCCGTAGGCACTCCCATATTTGGCCTAAGCGGGTTTGTGCCACCTAATAGGGTTTGGTTTTTAAGGTCTCGAGTCTTTAATACAGGGTAAATAATGTCACTATTTAGTGTAAACAGGGTGTCTTTGTAGCAGAAGACTTAAAAACCCGACCCAATCGAACTCCAATCGTTCGATTGACTTCGACTGGGTTCGGTAATCGAACTCATCCAAAACTTTAGCCTGCCTTACCTTATCCCCTTCGACGCCTACTACCTAAACTTTTGCCAATCGAACACAAACTAACGTTCGGAAAGATAAGCTTCAACAATTGCACAAAAAACAAGTTTTCATGTCGTTTTAAACAAGGCGTTGCGGTTAACAATTAAGTTAAGCGTTGTCTTCAATTTCAAACAAGAGTATACAGGCAAGATGTGTATACCACGAAAGCTCCTTTTTTCGCCGTCGGTGTCGATGAAAAGTTTGTTGTTTATTTTTAGCTGACTTTGGCGGCGACCGCCAGCTTGGACTTTGCAACGTGAACTGATACCTGTACGGTACGTGCGTTGGCCGTTGACTGTCAAAGTTGAAGTGCAAGTCCTATGCTCGCTACCGTCGCTAAGCAGTTCCAGCATTAACTGTGAATTTATCGATATTACTTTAACAATATTTATTCAATTTTATTCATTTTAACAATATTGTTATTTTTAACGCATAGCTGTTTTAAAATGTTTAAACAGTGCATTATTGTTAATTTATTTTTTAAAAAATTAATTGTTGCTGTAAAGCGCCATAGGACAGCAATGACCATGGCGCTATAAAAGTAAATGTTATCATCATCATCTTCATAGTCGTCGTCTAATCTCGTACCCAGATCTCCTCACTTTTCAGTGTAAAACAGAGTGAGATCTGGGTACGAGATTAAGTCGTCGTCGTCATCATCATCATCATAATAATAATAATAATAATAATTATTATTATTATTATTATTATTATTATTATTATTATTATTATTATTATTATTATTATTATTATTATTATTATTATTATTATTATTATTATTATTATTATTATTATTATTATTATTATTCAGTTCGATCGAGTTCGGTAATCGAACTCACCGAATTCGAAAAGTTCCAGTTCGGTTATGTTCGATTACCGAACCAATGCAACAATAATCCAACCGATTGCGTTCGACAGTTTCATGGGCTCCTGCGTTCGATTGATTTTTGGTTCGGTTTGAAAGGGTGATGAGCGGGTGTACGAACAACAGGGCTTTGTTCTAGCACCTAACTTTTAATCTTAGGTGACTAGAAAATCTTATTTGTTTCATAGAAATCATATGTTGGAAAAGACTTTTTCCTCAAAACAGGGTCAGGGCTGGAGGGTCTCGGCTGTAAACCTCTACCCAATCTTTCCCTGAGTGCCCCTTCCCCCGTCCCGGACTCCATGACCCCTGATCTATCTAATTTGGGGAGAAATGACTCGGATCAAGATTTATAAACGAAAATTATGTTGACGAAGATTTACCACCGTCTGATCCGGATCATCCCAAAAGAAAGCGCTGTGAAGATAAAAATGGGCACAAACATTTTGGTATAGTTATCCGTTTCCGTGCAGACGAGCACGTGTGTCGCGCGATTCTACATACCGGATATCAGAATACAAAGGTATCGTATCACTTTTCAGTTGTCATCGGACTTGGCGGACAAGTATATGTTGTGTACAAGTTTTTGTATCGAACATGGATGAACGTGTAGCTCGCGCCAGGAGCAGCTCAAGTGCCTCAAGTTTATTTTTCCCAACACCGAAAGCTCCGCCACAAAGGGGTAATTTCCTCATGACCTATTTCTCGTGCCCTGTTGGTTCTTTGGAGCAGAACTCGGTTCACTCCTCGGCTCGGCCTCGAGGAGCAACACTGATCACTGAAAACACATACAAAATGGAACCAGACAAGAGATTCAGCGTGGCTGAGGTGAGAGCTATTCTTCATCAACATCTTCAGTCTCTTGAAACACAAAAATACGATGCTAAACTGTGCAGAGAGATGGCCAAAGGAATGTGTAACTCCATCATGAGTGATTTAAAGTTGCTGGGGTATTCACGGTTCAAGTTTGTCTGTTCCGTCACGATAGGACAAAATAAAGGCCAGGGTGTGAGAATAGCCAGCCGATCTGTTTGGGACACTAATTGCGACCAGTTCGTGTCTGAAAGCTTCAAGAATGAAACCTTGTTTGCTGTTGGAGTAGTGTTTGGAGTTTACAAAGAGTGAGAAGCAAAGCTGGTGAAAATTTTGCCTTACATAACTTTATATATTCTGGTATTATTATTCGAGAAATTTGCGAAGGATAGCCTGGTTTGAGAAAATGCGTGGCCCGGTAACATTCGGAAACAGCCACCATATAAAATCTCCTCAGAGCTTCAATTCACTGTCGCATATTTTAACTTCCCGTCGATCCAAGATAGTGTCATCATCCACAACCGAAAAATCAATCCTTATGTTGCGTGATAATACTGAATAATATAATCGTTTGTTTGTGAATGGACAACATCAAGTTTGTAGTCGTCTCTTTTGAGAAAAAAATTAAAAGCCCAATAATCTCATTAGGGATGACATATTTGATTTGCTGTTATGTCGTGTTTACATTGAAGCAAAATACCTGTAACCAAGCAACCGTGAAGTAGACTAGCTGGCGGGTGCTTTTGTTGTTTTTGTTTAGGCTGGTAAAGCTGTGAGGAGAATGAGGGTGTATCCATGGTATCCTTCGCGGCCTAGCTGATCGCGCGGCAAAGCCATGCAGTTGCGCTGCGCAATGCCCACCCCTCCACCCCCTGCGGCTACGGCGTAAAGTTCCTCAGTGCCCCTGCACGTCCTCAATACCCCGCTTTATTCGCGCTCGCATTATTCCCGGGACTATTATTATTCGCCCATTTTCTCCCTAAAGTGCCTGTTCCCAGGGTACCAAAAAGCGCTTCCGTATTGTGATCCCGCCAGCTACGCAGACTACCGAAGATGAAGAGAATAGGTGAAACAAAGGTCTGGGGACGATGAACAGTTAACCACAGCGATTTGAGGCCATTTTATCAACGGCAAAACAATAGAAAATCGTTACAACAGATAAGGAAGCTAAATAAATCACATTAAAAAAAATCCTGCCCCAAATGCAAAGTTGTAAGACAAGACAGCATTAAAGCTCGAGAAAACTGTTTTAACTTCTGTTGTATAAATAATACAACCACGGCTTGCCAACAGTCATGTCATACGATACCTTGTTTAAATAAAGGCGTGAGTAGACCTGTCAGCTATTGATGTTTAGGGCTCAGGCTACATCATAAAATAAAGTATCCTGTCTGACAGTCCTCTTGATATGATCCTCTTTTATGACAACTTGTTATTCCTTTTCATGCCCAGAACGCTGTGATTTGAATTCTTAGCGGTCTATTCCCCCCAGAGTACGCAGAAAGAGAATTCCCCAAATGCACCTACACAGGGAGCAGAGAAGTTGTTTGTGGCCTTAATTTACAGCTGATAGCGCGAGTTGCCTTCTTCATCAAGCTGCCGTCCAGTACCGTGTTACGATATCTATTGTAGGTAGGACCGTCATGTGTGTGGAATTACAATGTACCGAATATATGTTATATATAACAAATATACATTGTCTCCAATGCTTAGCTCCAATACTGCATCATCCTACACTTTACTTCACTATATACACAGCTATACTACACTTTACTCAACTATTTTACATTTACATGTATTGGGTCGGTAAAATCGTTAAGATATCACACCAAACGTAAAAATAAAACAAATTAAATACATAAATAAATAAATAAAAGAACTAAATGAATAAAATACAGATATATTAATATATAAAGTTAAATAAAGAAAAGTAACACTACAGGGTGTCCCAAAAGTTCGTTCCTCTAATTTCATGCACTATAACTTTTGACCAAAACTTTATTTTTACGTAACATTTCTAGAGGATGTTTATTTCTCTATCGAATACATGTATTCAGAATTTCAGTAACTGGCATGCCCTTTTTATTTTTTTATCACATTCTGTAGCCGTTGTGGCATGGTGTGGGACACGGCGTGTAGACCCACAGATGATCCATTTTGAGCTTTTTTGTCACCCGGTGCGCAGGAGCCAGTTCAACCCCCAAACAATATTTGTTTAGTTTAGGCAGCTAAAAAAATATAATTTGGGCATTCACCCAGAAAAGGCTTTTGTACTTCTTTAGAAATTAGAGACGACCTGGGCGTTACTTGGCAGACTAAGCAGAGGGCTTTTTTGCCCTCTCAGGGGCCTCTAATTTTAAACATTCGCTTTTCATGACCCTTTCTGGACTTGACTTGCTAACTATTTGAGAGCTTCCTCGTCGAGTCTCCTATTTTGTATCTAGCCTTCTTTACAACTATTTTAGCCGCTTTATTCAGGACTTTTGGTCTTCCCCTTCGTTTCTTGCCTTCAAAAAACCTTCATTTCTCCATGATCAGTTTACCATCCAACATTCGGATTTTTCAGTTTTTTAACAGTTTCTACAACAGATAATAAGCCAGTAAATCGAAGCATAGATGCTTATGCTTTCACGTAGCTAAACGTTTTTGCATTAAGGAGGTTTATCTTTCGTGATATTCACAAAAAACAAGGAAGGAGTTCGAGTAATTCGGGCTATAAAATACAAATAATATGTGGTTGGAAAAAAAAAACTCGCGCACGCGCACCTTTGCCGTGGAAGTACACAAATAGAATATTCGATTCAACAGATGGCACAACAAGTAAGAAAATAGTGAATTAGATTGAAAGACAACTTTTGTTTAAATGATTTGCTTACCAAGTCCAATCATACTAAAATATATACTTATAAAGGAGAGGAACGAACTTTTGGGACACCCTGTATATACAACTATTATTTAAGAAAAGCTGATAACTTATATTTAAAAGGTTCTAAGGAGATTGATGAAACAATGGCCTCAGGGAGGTAGTTCCAGTCTGCTATAGTTTTTGGAACAAACGAAAATTTAAAAACGTCTTTATTTGCATATGGCGCGCGAAATTTAAATTGATGGCCTCCCCTCTTGCGACTCTCGGAGTGTTGAATTAAATATTTTCGCCTATCTATATCAATAAGACCATGAGTTAGTTTATACATAAGTGTTAACCTAAACTGCCTTCTTCTCGTTTCCAGCGTGGCCCACCCTAAGTCTCTAATCATGTCTGTAACACTCGCATATCCATTATAATTCTGTGAGCAGAACCGTGCTGCTTTACGTTGAACCCTTTCCAGAGCACTGATGTCTTTCGTTAATAACGGGTGCCAAGCCGCACTTGTATATTCCGGCGTCGGTCGTACTAGGGAGGTATATGCGATTTCTTTTACATTCTTTGGACAATTCCAAAGATTGTGTTGTATTGTATACGTACCCAGCGATTTGTTTGCTTTAGCTGCTGTCATGGAAACATGGGCTGACCATTTGAGCTTGTTACTAATGTTAACCCCAAGGGTATGGGAAGCTATAAATCAACCTGTTCGAACTCTACACCACAGAAGACACATTTTCTCTGGGATGGATTGTTCTTATGTGAGATGATAACAATTTTGCTTTTGGAAGGATTGAACTCCATTTGCCAATGATATTGCCAGGATTCTAACCTTCGTAGGTCAGATTGAATTGGGTCACAGTCCGCATCGCTAGCGACAATGCCGTAAAGTAAAGCATCGTCCGCAAAGAGCCTAACTGATGATTGCACGTTATCTGGTAAGTCGTTTATATATAATAAAAAGAGCAATATGCCGAGGACTGTACCCTGCGGTACGCCAGAAGTCACCGGACATTGAATTGATGTTTGGCCTTCACAAACAACTGATCGGAAAACGTTGTGTAAGAAACAACTCTGACCAATTTAGGAGCGGGCCTTGGATTCCATAGTGTCGCAGCTTCCTTAGCAGTCGCCTATGAGGGACCTTGTCGAAAGCTTTGGCAAAGTCCGAAACTACCGCGTGGATAGATGAGCTCTGAATAGCCTTTGCCATGTCGTGTAACGTGAGAATTAGCTGCATCTCTGTGGATCTCTTTGCCCTTAAACCATGCGGACAGTCTGTCAAGATGTTATGGTCTTTTAGATGTTTCATAATAAAGCTGTGGACGATATGCTCGAGGATCTTCGATACAGCATGAGTGAGAGATATAGGTCTATAGTTGGCTGGGTCAGATTTCTTTCCCTTTTTAAAAACTGCACACACATTAGCCTCCTTCCATTTGTGGGGTACAGTGCCACTGTTTATCGAGTCTTGAGAGATAGATGTCGGTTAGTATTGGAGCAATGTCTGCAGGAAAAGTTTTGAGAAACCAGGGTGGAATCTGGTCTGGGCCACAGGCCTTGTTAGGGTTTAATGAAGACAACTATTTTAAGACTCTTTGTTCTGAGATAATTAAAGGCCCCGAGCCAAGTGTAGGATAAGAGCCCATTTCTGGAATTTTTTCAAGGTCCTACTCAGTAAACACACTTGAAAATTGGCTGTTTAAAATTTCTGATTTAAGACCACTATCACTTATAAATTTACCGTCGACTTCAAAGTCTGCTATCCCTGAATTTTCTTGTTTAAGCCGTTTTACGTCAGTAGGACCAAAAACGTTTTGGGTTGTCCTTGATTGCCTCACTAAGGTGGCCCTTGATATACTCTTCCCTTGCAGACTTAAGATTCTTGTGCATGCGTTTCCTGGCGGCAAAAAAATTTTTTCCAGTGATGTCCAGATCCTGCTTTCTTTGCCTATACTACACTATACACAGTTATACTATACTATACCCAGCTATACTACACTATCCATAGCTATACTATACTATGCATCGATTAAACTACTCTACACATCGCAATATTACGCTATACGAGGAAGCGGAATGGGTAGGAAGAGGGGTGAGGGAGTCTTTACGTCCCTTCAAATGGATCTAGCTGTTATAGGGATTCTACGAATTACAGATTTCGTCTAGCAAAGAACGAAATGATTTTATCGCCTAAAAACTAAATGCCGAGTTTTACTTTTTTACGCTTTTCGAAATTCGCGTTGCTCTTTCCTTTCCATCGTTATAGCATGCCGACTCCTTATTCATCAGTATAGATCAATTTAAGCGCCTCCATGAGGATATGGGACTGCATAAGCTATATGCAGTGTTAAACCTAATCTTCAGTTTAAAATATTTTTAAAGGAGTCTTAAAACAGCTGTCTTCATTACACCCTAACAAGGTCTGTGGCCCCGACCAAATTCCACCCTGGTTCCTCAAAACTTTTGCTGCATACTAACCAACATCTATCTCTCAAGACTCGATAAACAGTGGCACTGTACCCCACAAATGGAAGGAGGCTAATGTGTGTGCAGTTTTTAAAAACGTTTTTCTTTACAAAACCCACGAGACGATAGCTTAGTAACTGCTGTGCCCTGTGTAAATTCTGAGTCGTGTAATTTGTATATAGTTTTAGGTAAGATCATTAATTTAAAAATCATGTAATAGATTAGTGCCAGTGCATAGGAAAGTGTCCTCTTTTAGCTAACTCTTAAGCTAAATACATTGAAACTAAAATAAAGTTATTTTTGTTATTATTTATTATAATTATTATGGCATTATGAGGGTTGTTCACTTAATCATTACGTCTGTATTGAACCATCACTGATATAAAAAAAGAACGAAAAGAGAAAGAATAGCTTCTTACTTCGCAAAATTGGGCCGGAATTTACTGTTCTTAGAATGTATATCTTAAAAATACTGTTTCTGCAATAATTCGATGCTAAAAGGAATAAAACTGAAATAAAACTAGTTTTTGCGCTGAGAGACAAGCATCGTCAACACTGATAAGCTTCTATAGAGACGAGAGACGTTATAAAGCACCATTCTCAGATAAATGCTAAATTCGTTATCAGTGATCAAACATACTGTCAAACAACCTCTTGATTTGACCTTTCCTATAAATGGGAGGCGGAATTTATAGCCTCACTTCTCATGAAAGGCTTACTAGACCACGTCCCTGTTACGTAGGTTATTTAGAGACTTTTCCGTTTTTTTCAAACATTTTAGCTGCTTGCGATGTTTCAACCGCAGTTGTTTGTACGTTAAATAAAAACGTTGATAAAACTCTTCCAACGTAGATTGTAGCTCCTGTTTCGTCCTCTTGTATTCTTTCCTTTCTCTCATTCTTATTGCTGCAAACATGCAATATAAAAAAAACATCAGAAAAAGGCCTTTGGTATAAATTATTCTCTATTTCAGTAGTGCTGAATTTGCAATTTTCCCCTGGAAAGCATGCCTCTCACCCCCTAATGTGCTGATGCTCACCCATTCTGTTTAGCCCCACCTACTATGCTAGATCATTGGGGGATCCACTCTCAACCCCCCTGGATTTGCCTACTCAATCATTCGGCGTAGTTTTCTCGGATTATCTTGGTCCTATAAAGATATTACTAGCTTGAAACTTCAGTGGTCAACGAGTTGCGGTACCTTGTATATCGTAACGCCGTTTTTGCCGTCCACTGTACCATAACTGATACAACATTCCAATAATAACAGCTACGCACAGCAGGGAGAACAAGATAAATAGACTCAGGTTAAACAGAGCTGTCCCTGGATCCAGTAGAGGAACCGTTTCTTTTTGTATTCTGCTTTGTGTGTGAGAAACCTATAGAAATAGATCAAGTTGAATTTGATTGTAAGGTTTTAGGTCATTTAGTAACTTTACTAAGTTAACTCTGTGTGAGTCTGCGGTTATCCAAAAATTAGTTCTTCGTGAAGTAATTGAAAACTAGCTTGCAATTGCTATGGGAGTATATCAGTATGTTGTAATATCAAAACCGTAGGTGCATTTCTTCACGTTGAATAAAATATAATCGTCATCATCATCATCATCATCATCATCATCATCATCATCATCATCAATAATCTTTTTCATTATTTCAATACTCTAAGAGCAATTGAATGAACAACTAAAGTAGAATGAAGTAAACAACGGCACAAGGCTACAAAACTGGAAGGTGCCAGATCTTTTTACCTTAGTTACTACTACTAGTTGATATTCGATGTTAGGAAAGGCCCTTGGCGCACCGTTAGTACCCAGAGAGAAAACATACGTTTTACACGATAGGAGCTGCTAGAGAACGATCATTAACGTAGTGTTAATGACACTTAGGGAGACGTTACCACTGATGAATAAATATATAATTAAAATAAACATCGACTTAGAGAAAGAACATTCACATTGTGGTTCTTAGTTTATCATTTCTTGTCGAATTGGAATTTGGAAATGTTAGTTTTGAGGACAGGGGAAAACCACTGTACCGGGCGGAAAACCTGTCGGAGCAAACGAGAGAATCAACAACAAATACAATACAGTAGTTTATTCAATGGTGATGATGATGATGATAACAACGACGATGATAAGAATTCATGTAGAAAGTAAGGTTAATAAACTATACGACGAGTCGGAGTCACTGCTGAGGACGTTGATATGATGTTCAAGATGACTGATGACATCGGTTTCGGTGATAAGAGTAACTGATTATGGTGTGAAAATGGTGGACGTGGTACAGGTTATTGAGACGATTCTGAGAGTTTTTTATGCCGTATCAATTACCTTTTCATTTTCTTGGTTTGTCTTCTGTAGAATATCAGTGACAACTGTACTCTTATTGCCAACATACTCCCGAAATATTCGCTCCAGTTTAGCTGCATTTCCACTAATTATCACCCCACAGGTGAATTTATAAGCGAGTATTTGACTGATTTTGATCCAGGTCACATTAAAGAGGTCACTCCTGTAATGCGCTGTGTATACGTCAACCAAGATACCATCAACCTCGTCTTGTTTGAGCGCATCAACAAGCCTCTCTAGGGAGGGGAAGGGATTACCTTTATGGAATGAAAATATTGTTAGTTGAATTTAAAACATTTATAGCAAGTGTCTTGCTCAAAAGTCCTTTTGGCCCGTCACCCATTCAAGAACAATCTTTATTTTCTTGACTTTACTTATTTACACAAGTGCACGGGCCCGCAGGAACCTACACTGTAGTGCCAATCTCTACGGGTCACTCAGTTGACATGTTCGTGCATTGTCATTATTCGCGACTGCTCCATTCTAAGTGGATCGTTGCACGCCAAGCCGAAGGAATCTCTAGACTGATAAGTAAAGGTGTGGAACGTTTCGCAAGAAGAGATTGACGGAAATGCATCTTATATTGTCGCGTTCTGAACTACGTTAAATAACCAGTGTATAAAAGACCTTGGACATTTTAGATAGCCTGCATAACAGGTGCTTAATGAGCCAAGCAAGGGGAGGTGCTATTACCAGTCCATTGTTCTGGCTCTTCCACCCACCTACGCCCATTGACATTGACTGGGGGTGGTGATGTCAAAAGGACCAATCAAAACACGATCCTTTATTCGCGCGAAAATTGTCACTTTTCTGGTCACCAAAAACACCTACAGTAGCATAAATCACAGCAAATAATTTCTCTACTAGTAGTAATTGCAAATTAGGGGAGTGCGTTCGATGGGGAGGGGAGGTGGGTTGGTGGGTAGTGAGCGCTATTGGGAAGGGAGCGCAAACCCTGATGGGCTTATAACATTGAGATATCAAAACCAAACACTTTTATCAATATGAATATCAGCAGCTGTCTTTATCAGTGTTATTGTTTGTCCTCCTACTTTACAATTCGTTACTATTTCATTTTTCCTCAAAAATGCAAGAGCGTACAGTACTTTTTATATTTACTTGGCTAAACCTCTAAGTAAAGTACATGTATGTAACAACAGGTCAAACACTGACTATGATCCTCAGGATATTCTTTTGCTCTCTAGGATGGTCAATATAATTGGCTAAAAATTGGGATACAGAAAAATTAAATTATCGGAAAAGTTTAAGTGTCCAACGCACCCGAAATTAGATTAGTGAGATGAAAAGGTCAACGTTTCACTTTTCAACTTTGTGTATATTTTTCAAAAATGGTGACAAACAAAGGCAAATACAACGCTGTACATACCTTTAAAAGCGAAAATATGTAATTTGTAATATAATTAAATATGGTCGATCGAAGTTGATCTTTCTTGAATCCATAAAAACAAATACAGTGTGCAGAACGCATCGTTAACATAATATCTACATATCCGATTATCTTAGAATGGAAATTTTTCTATGTAAAAAAAACTGATTGAATTAATTGAAAACTGCGAGAAAACTATAAACAAGCCTGTAGTAAACAGAAAATCCCCGTTCAGGGCTGTCAACTCTCCCAGATAATCCCGGAGACTCCAGATTTTGAACCGTTTCTCCCGGTCTCCAGATTAGAGTCAAAATCTCACGGATAATCGCCGAAGTCTGCCGTTTCTGGAAGATTCGACTTTCTGACTATGAAATTTCAAATATTTTGCGTTGTTTGAGCTATCTTACTGTTAACATGGAACGTTTCCTCACAAACTCCGGTATGTCATTGTAATATAAGCAATGATGTGATTGGTGGGAAGTAAACCAATTAGGTCAAATGTTAGAATTCCAACAACATGTGTTTCGCGCGTTTTTTTTTCACAAATGACGTCACCTGCCGTGCATTATGACGTCATCTACATCTCATTCCCGTCAATTCTCAATATTTGAAGACGTGGGAGGTTGACAGCTCTGCCCGTTTCATCTGTGAACGAACGACTGTCACAAAATAGATACCAGATTAAATGAAACATGAGATCGAGGCAAAATGTGCCAGGCCGGTCCAAGACGGCGTCCAAACCGTGAAATCGCCTGGATATAAACGGTTGCTACTTTATGTACGGCGCACAAAAAGACTCAAATAGTATGCGTTCTCCTTCGTCGGAACGCAATTAGTGCATGAAACACCTTTAATGTAAGACTTAGTGAAGCAAAAATAGGATTTGCTCAGTCAAATTTTAGAATGTCCAAACACAGCAGCGAGAAAGAAAAGAGGAAAAACCTGTTGTTCTAACAAACGCTAATGTCTCGTTTCACATGAGTCGTGTTTGGCGTGTCAACACTTTATTTCAAAAAGTTGGTAAATCAGGCTTTGTCCAAACCCAGTTGGAAGCATTCCAAGAACATCCTTCCTCTTTAGCAATAAATTTAAACATTTCTTTTGTTTTTCCTTTATATCTGAAATATTTGGGAATAAACAAAGAGCATCTCAAACCGAGCATCGTCAAAAGAAAGTGACTGCGTGACGGCCATTTTGTTGAAGACAAACATGCCAAAATTTAGCCAGAACAACGCGTCATCAATTAACCAATTGGAACGCGACGTTCATGTAGTGAACGTGGGAAGAGCCAGAACTATGGACTGGTAACAGGCGCTTTATTTTTTCGTCTCCCCGCGCCTTAAGCTTCGCGCGAGATGCCGCGTTGGCCTCGCTTGGCTCCTAAGGCGCCTGTTATGCAGGCTAGTTTTCATGTGGTTGCTGAGAAATATATTTACGGAATTACGGGTTTTACACCTTTAATTCAACAAGGTTAGTCTGCGAAAGTGCGCCGAGTGAGGTGGGTACGTATACCATTTGTTCGATCTACCTACCTTCCAAGCAAGGCGGGTGCCGTTCGCTCGATCCGCTTTCCGACATTTTTTGTTAGATTTAATCTAAGGTTGAGTCTTTTAAGAGAAATTGTGCATCAGAATCCTTGTAAATATTTCTTGTCTCGTTTTCATGCGGAAGAGTCATTTGAACCAGTTTGGAAAAAAGAGAATTCTAAGGCTAGAAAGCGAGCTCCAAGAGAGAATCGAATTCACGACCATCCGAGTTCTAGCTCGGATGCTCCAACCAACGAGCTGCTGGAGGCTCTATGGCGAGCAGGGTCGAAATTTACTAGTAATTATAACTACAACAGTCATAGTAATAGATATACAAAACTTACTACCTCCTACTTGCGATTTGTATCGGACAAGAATTTCATACTCTGGAAACTGAGCCAGTGACCCAACCTGTGTGAAGAATATCAAAAAAAACAAACTACATGTATAGGCTTTTATGCGACGAACGCAGTTGCATCCATTTTTTTATTTTTTTAAAATGCGACGAAATCCTCTTCTCAACGCCGAAAGGTGCATTTTGCGCGCTTCTTCTGTGTAATTTAAACAGCCAAACAATTTGTAGGTTAATGAAGAATTCATAAGTCACAGAAATCGTTTTCTGCAAGCTCTAATGATCTCTGATAGAAGTTTCTTTCGGCAGAGAGAAGAGAAAGCGATAGTGATAGTGATAAGTGATAGTTGACCAAAGCAATATAATGTAAATTACATAAAAAATAAATGACCTTTCTGCCTTGAGTGGCCACGCTTAAATGTTTATCGAGAATGCGCACGGACATGGAGGAAGTCAGAGAGCTAACTAGAAGAGAAGACAGAACGATTCCGGCCAGGAACCAAACAATAGCAATTGACCGCCCGAGAATGGTCTTTGGGTATCTGTCCCCGTACCTGAAGATAGAAGAACAAGAGTATCATCTTGAAGCGAAAGTTCATTTAAGATAAAAGTAAGGCCGAGTAATTACATGACGTGTCTAAAATTTAAACAACGAATAAAATTTCTGAGAAGAAAGGTTTTTGTTAATGATATATGAAATAAATCATATATGAACTACAGAAATGAAATGAAAATGAAGAAATGATCATTTCCTTTCATTTTCATTTTTTTCATTTCCGCAGTTCATATATGATTTATTTCATATATCATTAACACTCATTTCTTTCACGGGAACATATGAATCCACAATTGACCTGCCCCCAACGTCGGTGGCTTCATAGCTCATTTGGTAGAGCATCGCACCGGTATCGCGAGGTCACGGGTTCAAACCCCGTTGAAGTCCTTAATTTTTTTTTTCAGGCTTCTTTACGCAATTGCATAAATTGCGTTCACTGCGACGATCATTTCTTCATTTTCAGAAAGGTTTTTTTATGTATGTAGTAGCTTGTCAGAAAGAGTTTAAGAGTTAACAATTATTTTTTTAAGAATATTTTCTTTTTAATAGAAATTATTAATCGGATCAAGCATCAGATAGGTATCGGCTAGTTTAACAAGCTTTCAAATTTTCCGCACGCTGCCATTTAGAATAATAATAACGTGTTTCGGTTGCCACTCTTGGAATTATAGTTCTTCCTACAAGCAAAAATGATTGAATTTCGTATCATATCACTTTCGATTTTGGCCATTAAAATCTTCTTTGCTTTTGCTAGAACAAATGTAACTTTCACTTCATAACAATTAAAGATTAATTTGTCTCAAGCACTCGTCACATTTGCTTTTCTTATTAATTTGTTGCGAGAACTGATGGTCACTGGTTTGGATGCAAACTATTGTTTTATATTCACTGGTTCTAATCAATATTGTTTACCCCACAGTTGTCATGGTAACAAGGGACCACCATATTCCTTCCACGATGCCTTGATGGAAATGGTTGAAGAAATGCTGAGAATTAGAATTATATTCCTATAAAACAGAGAGAGGTAGTACTGACATTAAACAATGATTAATAAATTATGATAATATCAATATCCAATATGAGCGCCTGGTATCTAAAAATTATTATTATTATTATTATTATTTATTAATTTGTATCGCGCAAATATCAATCTATTGAATAATTTTCATCTGCGCATTACATAAATCCTATTTAAAAGTTCTATATAAAAAAGTAAATCTACATTAACAAATAATTAAAAATTAATGAATGAGGCTGAGTATCTTATGAAGAATTATGGAGATCGAGAAGGGTGTTATCCGTCGAGGCCGTAGGCCGAGGCGGATAACACCCTCCGAGATCTCCATAATTCTTCATATGATACGAAAGCCGAATTCAATAATTGTTTTATCATTCATTCAAAATAATTCCTAGTTTATAAACATAGCTAAAACATGCTCACCTCCATCGATTTTAAGTTCATCTTCGATAGTGCACGTTTAGGGTTGTTCAGCTCCGCAAATTTTCTCCAAATAGCAGATATAGCCCTTCGAGTTGACTTCTTGCTGTTCTTGCCATGTTTTTAGTTATTATTTCGCCTAGTTCTTACTCTTGAAAACGGGCGAAATGTCCGCCATTTTTGTTTTCACAACCAAAACAACTCAACCTCGTGCCCAGGTCTTCTCGGTTAACGGTGCATTAACCTGCAAGGAAGCTGGACTTTTGACGTCACCGGTTCATTAATCGCAAAATTCTTCCAAATTTGGTCATCAGTAGCTGGTTATGGTGAATTATGCGTGTGCTTTTTAGCCAATCAGAATCGGGCAAATATTTTGATTGAATAATAATAGTAATTAACAAACTTCCAAAAATTGTAAAAACAATGACCAAATAATTCCTAAAATCCTATTTACAAATCCTACTTAATAATTTATAAAAATAATAATTCTAAAATTCTAGGCAATGACTAATTATTCCTTAAAATCCTAGTTACAAATCTAAGTTGATAATTTATAAAAGTAATAATAGTAAGAATAAATTAGCTAGGAAACGCTGAAATATATGTGTTTTTAAATCAGTGCCTTTTTAAAACCATTTACTGAAGATGTATTTCTAATAAAAAGGGGACGATCGTTCCACAATATTGGGGCAGCCATATGAAAAGATTGATCACCCAGCGAGGTAAAAGACTTACATGTTGAGATGTTAAGAAGTAAAATCAATTCCCAGCCCCGCAGTTGCGTTAGATCCGCAAAAGGCCTTGTACCAAACGTCACGCTATTGTTGTCCCCAGCTAAAAACTATTTAGGAGGGCAGGTACTTATATAGTTGGGCAGAAAAAAGGCGGTTGAAACGGTTGTGCCTCTTGTCTTGTGAAATCTTATTTAAAAAATAGTAATAGCCAAAGATTACAAAGTAAACGCTATTGGGCCAACGCTGTGCAATTTACGTATGTTTCACGTAATGGCTGGTCAAAAGACACGTCAACAGACTGCAAATGATAGAAGGCAGGAGCCTCCTGAAGAAGGCCCAAACAACTATGATCAGATTACGTTCTATGCATTCCATTCATTCTTAGTGGAAATCCAAACGAAGCTAGAGACATACGTGCCGTTTATGTCTAATACCAACCTGGAGATTTATAAAGCGGCTAGGCTTAAAAATCCTGCTTATTTCATGGGACAAGTTCCGTTTACAATTCCGTTCCTCTTTCTTTCTCACTCAGTCTAGCTATTAGCAGTTCTCACTGTGTTCATTTACAAACGAACACTCCCTCGGAAAATTGAACATGACTTGTACTTATTTAATTTGATGAAACGACACTGACTATTCTTAATTAAGTGACTCACCACAAACCAAATAAGGATGCCAGTTAATATCGCCATAGAAAAACTAACTGCAAAAATAGGCCAACAAGCCAGCACAGAATTGCTTAAGTCACGAGCATATCCAGACGGTGTCTTTTTTCTTGTCATCAAAGCCACACCAGGAATGGTCAAAAGAGGAATGTACTTGTGAATACCCCTGTATGTAGTTCTTCCAACAGCTGATCTGACTGGAAAGCGGAAATCCACCCATGGTTGGTTATCTCGGTCCAAAATGTTCTCTGTTTTGTTGAAATTGTAGCTTATGTTCCAAGTCTGATACGCGAGGCACTGGCCGCATGAGACTTGCAGCATATGCACTAGAATTTCTGGGATAATACCGCGTGGTTTGGCAGTTGCGTTTTCTTTGATAATATAAGGGGGTTTGGGGTACCAGTTGGCGAACATAACTTGTGGACAGCGGCATGTTTCTGAAAAAAATGGAACCAAAAATTGCCCACTCTTCGTTTTCGTTCAATAAAGCACAAAAGTAATGATACACTCGCTCAGTAGCTTTTAATAATGGTTACTTTTAGTTTTGTATCAATGTTTCATCGCATAAGTAAGTGGCGAATAATCGACCGGTCGAGCGTAGCCCTAAATAGGACTCTCTTCTTTACAAACTGCCATTCAGGACTACTCTCACCCGGTCGGTCATTCACCACCTACTTATGAAATGTCTATTAGGTTCAAACCTTTCAGAATCTTTCATCGTTTGACTTGGGCATCTGCATTATGTCTTTCGTACAGCACTTCTACCTTAACACCGATGAATAACATTTCATCTTCAGATGAGCCCTGTTAACGGGACGAATTTCGCCTTGTGTTCATATGAGAAATTCCTACCCGGATCCGAGATGAGAAAAGGCTAAGGTCCTGATCCGAAATTCGAGAAACAAAGCAAACATGGCGAAACGCAAAAATTATAACTTTTGCGACTACAATGGCTTTGGCAACCCTTAAAGCTGTACAGCTGCAGTTAAATGGGATGCTTATGACGTGAAAAACACAGCAGGCAATGCAAGACGACAACATCCGAATAGGCCACTTCCACTAAGAGGTCACGTGACCAATGCTTCCTTTAAACAATGAGTTACAATCTTGCGTGATTCCAAAAATTGACAGAGCACACAAAAATTGTCTTACACCCAAAATTTGAGAGGAAACGCATTTAAGGGAGATATTTTATGGCACTTTGGTTTTTCAACAAAGTAGTATGGTTTACATTGGCCGCCATTTTTATAGAGGGCATACTCTTGCCCTCCAACAGGGCCCCAAAACTACTTTTAGCTTAGATCTTGTTAACGTTTGATAGTTACGCTCAGATGTGCTGTAAGCGTTCCCACATCAACTTTTCGACATTTTTCCCGCTTGGAAAAAACCGAGATCTCGGGAACCGAGCCAGCCCGCCCTCTCTTATGAACACATCCAAAAGTTTTCAAAGTATTTTGAGGTAAGGCGAGATCTCGGAAACCGGGCCAGCCCAGTCAATCGGACTCACGTGAAGAGTCCCTAAGATGGGTGAAGTCACGTTCTATTTCTATTTTGTGCTTAATATAACCTGTTTGACAGGGTTTTAGTTATTTCAAAGTCGATGACGTATCTTTTTCGATGTGTTAGTTTATCTGACAGAGCAAATTGGTTCGTTGCTCAACTTGAAACCGTATCGTGGCATAAAATATAACTTGAAATATTACGAGAGTGTCAAATGTTTTTTTCCTTGCACAAGTTTAAACCAACCCAACTAAACTGCCTTAAAAACAAGGTAATCATTACTAAGACAGAAATTTGTTGTGGAGATAAATTTGGATCCGATGTTAACTTATCATACCTGCAAACATGATTTTGTTGTTATGCATCTTGGCATCAAAGGTGACAGGTTCCACTCTTATTTTGTACGTTGTGTATGTCTTGAGTCCACTAAGAGTCAGTTTCCTTGAATCCGCCCTTACATTCACAGTTGTACTCGAAGAGTTTAACACAGGATAACCTGCCTCACTAACTTCTTCATACGTCACGTTATAATGTGTTAATTGACGAAGTACTAAGGTACGTAGTTTATTCCACTTCACTCTGATGCCAGTTGGACTGTAGTGACTCACTGCTGTCATTTTCGGGAACATGGTTTCTGTTAAAACCGGAAACCAAGTATATTTCATTTCAAAAATTTCGGATGACGAACATAAAACACATTTATTCACGGCGTAAGGACAATATAATATCAAAGATTCTTCTTATCAACAGCGAGGGGAAAGCAGAAAAAAAGATATTCCCAAATTTTCGTCGGCATCTGTGATTATGGGATCATCTGGAGCACCAATGATGGCATACAGCCTCGTTTTCACCTTAACCCTAGTTTCCAAGGTCAAGGTCACGTTGTGATCTTGGCCTTGTCAGTAGAGGCCAAGGTGATCTCGTGAACAAGACGGACAATTACGGTCGAAAATTTTGGAATAACTTTTTTCGGTTTTGTTTTTCCTCGCTGTTGAAAACAATTTTCGATTTTGTCCTTTCATTAGTTGGCATCTGGGAGTACTTTGAATGCACCTTGTCCAAGGCCAATAGGTTCGCAGAGTTGTTTTTTATCAAGAGATCATAATGGCTCTTGTTTTTATTTAATAATTATCCAGGCATTGATCCTATCTCAAGGTTCACTCAAGGGCGGACTAACACAAAACATCTAATTTAAGGTCACTTAAAGCGCCAGACAGGAAACCGATGCCATTTACCTACAACCTGCTGCTGGCTAAAGAGGACAGTGGAGGCTTACCATCTTAAATTTTGACAACCTTGGTGGACACTTTTAGAATAATAACGAAGATCCTTGCGGTGACTAAACAAAAAGTATGAGTAGGTAACAAGAGAACATGGAAAAAGTCAGCCTTAACCAGAATTTAAATCACGACTTTAAAGATACCACACTAAACACTGTACGTGGCCCATTGGAGAACAGGCCAATTGTAGGTGTGTAAAATGCCTGTAAATGGAGTATTATTAAGATACTCGGCTGCTCGACCGATCTCACTCGCCTGTATAACCCATAGAGTAGTTTACCTTCGGACCAAGTCCACACCTCATTGCAAGTGCTCGATTGTCCATCTCCTTTGCTTGTGAATGCTACAACTCTTGCGCAAAGTATTGGCGCTGATTTACTAGATTCATTTAACATTATCCAAGTCTGGTTAACATTCACAATAGCAGTCAATACCAACGACGTATCTTCCATATTTTCGAGTAATACTTTATATCCAAGAATTATTCCATGGTTGTGACCAGGAGGTACAGGTTCCCAAGTTACGGAAAAGAACGTAGCATTTAATGGTGTGGTAGACACATTCATTGGAGGCAGGCTGGGTACTGAAAAACAACGTTTGTCAGCGTTTTGTTAACCGCTTTTGTACGAAAATATGTCGGTCGTCAAATTTTGGTGGTTGCCATTAGAGTCTGGAAAGATTTAGCATGCTTTTTTTCTGTTATATAAAATATATCTTATCGCACGGGATAAGACGTCCGTCGTCTTAAAGAAGCCGTCATTAAAAGCACCTTCTTCGACTTACAATTCGCTCCTGTAAAGTGAAAATGACATGATGGCGACGTTATCACTACTAGGTGAAGGGGAAATGTGGGATTAATGTTAAGAAAGCGCTAACAGGTGACAGTATAAGAATCACTACTTTATTCAGCAGTTACCCGAGAAGTAAGGTAGAAATATTTTACTCCGCACTTTTAGTTACTGTTTAGTTGGAATCCCATGTCTTTAAGGTTCTATAACGTCATAGAACATAGGGTGATAACAGAACATAGGGTGTTCTATTTTAATGTGGTGCCTAGTTTAACTAGTTTGACGGGTTTTTAGTTTATATTTAGATCATCCATGGCTTCAGATTCATTGATTAAATTTAAAGAGGCACTGATTGGTTTATTTACTTTGACAAAGATAAAGTAAAACAAACCATGGTTACGCACGGTTTATTTCCTGTCGCAACTATTGATTGAGGTTCTGGCTCACTGATTGGTAGCCTGCAAATTAGACTTATTCATAAAAGCAATGGGAAACTAGCTTTCTCTTAGCAGTAAACATTATTATCCCACAATTAAATTACTTCCCTTCTCCTCATTCTCGTCAACTTCCTGTCGTATTCCTTCACTTCCACCACCATCATGTCTCTACTGTATTCGTTCATTTTTACCAGTGCCACATTTCTGTTGTTTTTCCCTCCTCCACAACAAATAGGGTATTTTTGGTTATATTGCATTGCATTATACAATCTCTACCCCAACGTCAACCTGTTAACAGCCCCTGAAAGCAATTAACCTGAGATCAGGCCCAGTTTTAGCCTGCCGGAAGGTTATTTTCAAAGCGAAACGAAAATAGAGCCTGATCTCAGGTTAGAATGCAACACAATCTATTATGTTAACAAAAGAACTAGTAACGACACCAAAAGTGAAAAGCGAAGCTACAAAAGCAGTTATAGAACCCGTCTAAAGAGAGGATGAGGAGAAAGGAAAACAATAAAGATATGGTGTTGGAGAAAAACAATACAAAATGGATGGTGGACAAGGGAAACCGTGGAAACTTCGTGATAAAGGAGGTAGAGGAAAACAATAGACATGTGAGATGCTGGTGAGGAAAAGACAACAAAATTGAGGAAGAGGAGGAGGAGAGAAATTATTGAATTATTGTGAAGGCGCAGGAAGGGGAGAGGGTAAGTTAGAAATTTACAAAAAGTGTTTTGTGTCTAGTCTTAGAAAGAGATACATTGTAGTTTTCCTTTACCCTCATTAATATGCATAATTTCTTGTCGAGATTTCGTAAACTGGAGCCATGGACGGAAATTGGTCAAGAAATAAAACTTAGATGAATACGTTATGTTTTAGTGATTTAAATTGACATGCGAGCTCGAACTTGTGAGTCAACCAATCAAAAATCATAAGATCATCAATCCAAAAAGGAACGAACTTCAAACCCGTTAAACCAGATACAATAGGCAAAACAAAAAAAAAGCGCGACATCATCCGATCTTAATGATGCCTACGTCATCTGCGTTTTTTTCCGCCTCAAAAAAGTGGAATAAAACTTCTCTTCCATACTACTTATACAGTCACTTGGCCGCAAGGTCCAATCGATTCACCCTTATCGTCTTTCCTTATATTAAAAAGTCGCTTTATCAAACAATTTAGTACTGGTTCTCTTCATCGTATTCTTTTAGCATAGTTTTCAGGCTCATCAGGCCTGTATTAACCGATCGACCGGTATTATCAATTAATGGATGAGGCTGAGTAGGATATGAAGAATTAATTAGATCTGCTTAATTCTTCATATCCTACGAAAGCCGAATTCGTTAATTGCTTTATTATTCATTCAAAATAATTCCTAGTTTGAAAACATAGCTAAAACATGCTTACCTGCATCGATGTTAAGTTTATCTTTGATAGTGTACGTTTAAGTTTGTCCAGCTCCGCAAATATTCTCCAAATAGCAGATGTAGCCCTCCGACTTGTCTTCTTGCTGTTTTTGCTATGTTTTTAGCCATTATTTCGTCTAGTTCCAGCTGTAGTTCTTATTCTTGAAACGAGTGAAGTGTCCGCCATTTTAGTTTTCACAACGAAAACAACTCAACCTCGTCCCAGGTCTTCTTGGTTAACGGCGCATTAACCTGTAGAAGGCTGCATTTTTTACGTCATTTCCTCGTTAAACCCAAATTGCTTCCAAATTTGGTCATCAGTAAGTGGTTATGGTGAATTATGCGTGTGCTTTTAGCCAATCAGAACTGGGAAAATATTTTGAATGAATAATAATTGCATTGTACTGTTTCTGGAGTTATTAATAAAGATTCAGTTAAAAAAGTATGACTGAATGACAGCAAGTTTGTTCGGTATTATTGTGTTATTATTATTATTATTATTTTCCAGCATTTTTCGGAGACCAAAGTGAGTCTAGCTGTTTAGAAAACATGGTAACTGTTTAGCACTTTTCTTGTTTAATTTAGACAAGCTGACATGATTCGCTCTCGATTTTTACCACCTTTTCTTTCGAGACTAGCCGTTAAAACTTTGGGGTGGACTCATTTTCAGCATATCCGCATAGCTCTATTATTTTCCCGTTGGATGTTTTTGTTGTTGTTGTTGTTAAGCTCAAAAACAATAAAAATTCCAGCGTGTAAATGCGACTGCTATGCTAACATAATACTGTGCTAATAATAAATCTACCCTAAATTAATGTTGCAAGCAAATAAGACGAAATGGCTCAAGGGTTGGGGAAATAGCTTGAGATAGCTTTAATCCTACCTGCTTCTTCAGTGAGAATAAAAGCACAAGAACTTAAAGGCCCTTCTCCCCTCCTTGTGAAAGCCAGCATCTTGAAACAATACCAAGTAAACGCTTCAACATTACGTAATTCGAAGAAGAAAACGTTAGCTTCCAGGACAGTGGCAAAGCGCGACAAATGCCCCGTGTCCTCATCATTTGGCTTTTGTTGATGGTACGTTGCACTAGTCAACTTTATAATCAGTTTATAACCCAGGATGACTCCGTTTCGATTTTGCTCGGGGACTGGTTTCCATTTCAAATGCAACACTGAACCACGGCTCTCCACGGTGATATTCTGCGGTGGGAGGTCTGGAACTAAAGATCAAGGACATATTGCACGCGTTATTTACTGAGTTTAAGAAAATCTTATTATTGTTAATGTTAGGATCAGGAGATAAAAGCAGTGTAGCTAGAGTACATGTGATCGCGACGAACCGTCGGCTACAGACATTGTTATGCCCAGCATAATATCACATGGTTGGCAAAACGGAGTCTCTAACGTTATAGAAAAATATCAGGTTCCTGAGAAAAGTAAGTCACCAAAGTAGATAAGCAAACTTACTATCATCGTCTGTTGTAAAATAATAGCAGATATCTCTTCCAAGTCCTTTTAAAACTGTCAGCGGTTCAACAGTAACGCAGTAGTTGGTGAAAGTCTTTAAGTTCTCAAACGCCACTAAATGTACACTTGTGTTGACCGTTTTCTCTTGGCCCTTATCTTGTTTTGATTTCACGTTAACAGTGTAGCCAGACACAGGGATTAACTCAGACGCATTTGTTTGCAGAAGTTTCCAGGCTATGACAGCTTCTGACGTTGTTATATTGTAGGCTTCTACATACAAAGTCGTTTCTTCCTCTGAGTTCAGGACAGAACAACAAACTGTTATTAGAGCAGAGTGAGTATAATGTAAAGAAGGACGTAGATGGATGATATGTGTTTCACATTCTGTCAGTACAAGGTTATTAAAAAACGTTGGTCGGTGCAAGAATTCTACAGTGCCATAATATTCATAGACATAGAGGGGGAACATCACAGTTTAAAATAAATTCAAAGTTCAAACTGTTACCAAGAAGATAACAGTGTCACAGTTCGTAATTCATTGCAGCACGAATGATTCTAGACTATTTCAATGGCGTTGTTTCTTAAAGTATCTAAAGGCTCTTGTCAGCTATATTTCAAGTGAATTACTCTCCTGTAAGAGGGCATTTATTGCATGTGGTTTTTGGCTTGCGAGAAATATGTGGTGTACATGAAAAGAAAGTCTCCATAACTAAAGCGATCCTTCTTAACAAAATAGCCACTCACTGTGATTGCCTGTTTCGTTGACGCATGCTCCGCTGACCAGCTTATCTCTTGTCATGATGCGTGTTTGTTGTCCCCCACCACAAGTTACACCGCACCGTCTCAATAGAACACAGGTGGTTTGGACAGAGGATCCTTAGACAGATAAGTTAAAGCTGCATGTGAAAAGTGTATGCCTTTTTTTACCATTAATAGAAGCAATATATGAAAAACCCATATGCCATATAAAATATTTACGTCATTATCGTTTGCTGTGAGAACATCTGCGGTATCATCTGAATCCAAAGAAGTAACAATGATCACTTCTACCCATAACTTGCCATTATCGTCCTTATATGCAAAGTTCTTAATTTTCTGTTGTCTAGAATAAACAAAACTCGACCGCGATTTCTTGCATTGGCAAACTTTCACTTGTTTGCCCCTGAGAACCCATAAGTCCATAAGTCAGTAAGCACGTGCAAAGATGGCGGGTATCGTGAATAAGGTCCATTGTTTATTTTCTGTTCAGGTTTGTTGGAGTAATACTGTAGGCTTTTGACCCAGCTTGGTCTCAAACCGGAGGGTTTTTAATGTGATGCTCCATTATTAACTAAAAACTATGTTTTTTTGACAAAGGAAGTGTTTACCTGGCGTATAAAGGAACAGATTTTTATGATCCAGTGAACTTGAAGTATTGAATCCAGGAAACTGCACGTGAATTCTCATGTGATCATTTTTGATGTAGTTAGTGTGCAATGCTTCAATGAAATACAACTTTCCTTTCTCTAGTTCTTGCAAACATGACCGTTGTAGTAAATATCTAAGAATTAATTAAAAACAAGCTTATAATCAAAAGTACATATTTCAACTTTGACTCAAGGCCAAGTTAGAAATCTCCATTTTACCTGTTCCACTGGTCGTACCCAGTCCTATGGTCCTGGTCAATCCTTATCAGCTCTTTCTTGTTCTCAGGCTTTTCGTCAAAACCTAAATAGAATACACACTCCGAGTCACAAGTCGCATAAAAGGTGTAATTTCCACTCGATGGTGCTATGAAGTACGCTTGCAATCTCTGACCATAAAAATCGTCTTCATTTCGTGGCGATGACAGTTCTTGAAGGACCTCCACTGTTGTTGGTGAGTTTGGAAATCTACTGTCCGACGTCAAATGTTTCAAATACCAACCACCACTGATGCCTCTCCAGACTTCTCGTCTTACTCCACGGTATTCTGTCGGCACAATACAGAACGAAAGTTTATTGATATACAATCAGTGGCTTAGGTTTGCAATGCAGTCTATTGCAAGCGCTGGCCACTTTTAATTATTTTCTCCATCATTTTTTTATGACGTTGCTTGACAGCAACTGACGAGGAACATATACTCAATGATATTTTGAGTCTTTTGAGTCTTCCTCCGCCTGCTCTCTGTTCCTTCAAATAGTTTTTATATCCTGCCAAAGCCGAATAACTCAAAAAAGAAATTGAAAAGGAGTGCCATTTTTGTGTTGTTGCTGTCTTTTCGAGTCAGTTAAACATGTTTCTGCATGTAGCGTGTGATTCAATCTTCAGCTATTATTGAAACGCTTGACGATAATCGTCAATTAATATTGTATCTTCAGCGTTAGTTGGATATGAAAAATTAGCTGGGGAATTTAAGCCAATCAGAAAAGGAGAAATAGTTTGAATGCCTTAATTATTAAGCGTCCACAAAACAAACTCTACCCATGGATGGTACATTTATCCTGCATCATTTTTTTAAACAGCCTTCTTTACAAATCTCAACAGCCACTATACTTTTGAATGGGAAAAGGTTCACAATACCGGTTGAAATTTCTTTTTTAGATATACATTTCTTTTATGCTGGGTCCTTTTTTCCACCTGCGTCTGTAAACAAGACCTAAAGTATTAAATTGTAACTATGTCAAAGAAACGTCCTCATCCATTTTTTGTGTGCGTGATCCCTGCATAGGAAGATTATGTTTCCTTCACGTGTTGACACTTGGATTAACGTGAAGAGGAAGAGAATCAGCAACTATGTAAAGGAATAACTTGGAATGAGCCAGGGATGAATGAAAGCACTTCGAAAATCTTCAGAAATATAACTTTCATGTTTTCTGCAATCACTTACTTAAAACCTTTCAATGGCATTTATTTTTTTCTCAGCATCATTTTAATAAATGGTAAAATTGTTCCCAGTTTATCGAACTAACAGAAAAACGATTAATACTTGTTTAGTAAACAAAATATAGTGTTTTCGTTCACGTTTTGAAAGCGAAAGGAAACGATACAATAATATTTTCAGATTTTTCTAGTATATTATCAATGAAGTATCCTAAAGAACTCTTTTGTCAAGGGATTTTCCTTGAATTTATTTAGCCTGTAGCATTTATAGATTGAAGCTTTTTCCTTAGAGGCCAATTATCTTAGACATCTTTTTCAATTTATACGAGCATTTTATTAATTTAGTTAAACTGAGGCGTCAGAAGCGTGTGGCAGTTTAAAATGTCGGTAAACAGGATGAGATTTTTCTTTGTTTTGACTTCCAACAATAAACGCTCTCGAACAAGATTTATTAAAAGAACGGAAGCACAAAAAAATACAAAGAAATACACAAATTTGAAACTTCAAATAGATTAATTTAATCTATGTATACCTAGACTTCACTTATTCTCAAATAATGTGAGTGTCATTTTAGTCATGGAGCTAATTGAAAAATGAAATTAATTCATTGAAATCACCGCAGAAATTAACCTAGAAAGGCCAACGTTCAACTCTGTATAATTGACATTTATCAACAGACCGTACAGTCATATATATAGTGTATTCCCAGACGAACATTGGTACGAATCGTTTTCTTTTTCGCCAAGAAACGTTCACTTGGTATTTAAAATATCTAAAACATTCCTTTAAAATAAAAAGCGGAATCCTATTCTATTCGTTTACTCAGGTTTTTTTACTTCAGCTTCTATAAAATTTTAAAGTAGAAAAGACAAACTGAAAGAGAAGTAAGACCGTGTTCAGTCAATCGTAAGCGCGCGTAGATATGTATATGCTACAAAACAGATTGAAATTTAAAAATACTCGAAAAGGAGAAAACGGTACTCACCTTTAGGGATACAAGACGAAAATTCACCAGTCGATAATTCGGCCAAAATAATAAAGAAAAACTGGAAGACAAAATACAAAATCAAAGCCTTATTCACCATTTAGTATTCAGAACAATTTCATCTGTGAAAGAACCCCTTACACTCTAACCTGAGAAAGCAAAACCTTCATTGTGAATCATCAACAGTTTCTTTTCGACAAAAGAAAAATTGATACCGAAGTTTATTTTCTCAACACAAAAAGTTGTTCGCCTGATTTTGCTGGAAATGACGAGAACGTTTCATCTGGCATATAAACACAGACGGATGAAATCATAAACGGTGGATAACTCCTTTCTTACAATTTTTAACGTCTTAAAAAAAGGTGCAAACTGCTGTTATTGTCGTCTATCAAATTAAAATCTTTTGGAAACAAGACGTTCTTAAGAACGAAGTATACGTGACATAAAAAGCGCGCAGATGCTTCGGTTCGAAATATTTGCAGTCGATCAAATTAGATTTCCTTTCCGTCGTTTTACTTATTTCTAAAGACAACAGAATATTATGTCCTCTCATATTCATCCTGAAGTAATAAAATTTTATCAGGTAACCTCCGGCGGATTCTCTCAGGAAGGTATTATGTACTACAGCGTAACCTCTATATAAGGAAGTTTTTAATGGGTAGCCTCCAAATTGGCGGATAAAACATTAGTCCGATGTCGCTTTGAAACAGTTGTCAGTTTTAAGACTTGGTACTTCCTGTACAGCCAGCTGCCTGACTCATAACGAATGTTATTTTTCGCCCAGTAATAGTAAACCTCGATGTAACAAACCGTTGCTACAGCGAGCATATTTTGCCAGTCCTTCGACCCTTCGTTATATGGAGGATCAACTGTATGTTGTTCATAGATCGCGCCTTTCTGTTTCTACTCTGATGTCTACCTCTACCGTTTTGCCCTTTAGAAAACGAAAATACAACGAGTAGTGACTTTTAACGAGTGAAAATTGTTTGTCGATTTAATTAATTTAATCACTTCTTTGTAGTCTCTGTGAATGGAGCACTTTTCCACCAAGTTAAAGACCCTTGATCTCTTTTTTCTGCCTGTGAAATAGCACCTCCTGCACTACGAGCGTTGTTTTCAAGGCCTATCATAAATAACCAATACGTCAGACTTTTCAATGTTATTGAAGATTACGGTAAATCATGTGGAATATGTGTGGTGGCTGACAGGCTTTTATCTCAATTTAGAATTTTTTATATATATAATCTATTATGGACAAAGAGCAATCTAAATACGTTGGTGCGAATTTAGACTTATCGGTATAAAATATAACATGTGATGTTGTTAAATCCATTAAATTAATGTGTAAGATTTGTTTGTTTGGTTGTTGCGAATTTTAAGCCAATGCGCTACATCATCATCATTCGTAGGTTGAATTATTTCTGACACAAATTTCCTGCTGATTATAAACTTCATGGGATTTCCCTTGTATAACATGAACCTTCGAATATAAGCTCTTCAAAAACGGCCCAAGGAAGATATAAGCCCTGGGGCTAATTGTGTTCAGAATTTCACGATATGTGCCACATTCTAACCGAAAACTACCCACTGTAGTACTGGAATTCCCCATCGGTCAATTCACTTTCTCTAGCATAATCCAAGCAATGAGTCAGGCAGCTGGCTGTACAGGAAGTACCAAATCTTATAACTGACAACTGTGTCAAAGCGACGTCGGGCTAAAGTTCTGTCGGACAATGTGGAGGCTACCTTAAAGTACGGAAAAACGGGAAACAAAAAACGTGCAACTTGTCTTGCAACATTGCTGCAAAGCGAGTTGAATAACGATGTTGCTCGGTTTACCACCCATATCAAACCTGTGTTGCAACAAATCAGGTTTTTAATAGGTTTGAACATAAGTGGTAAAACGCGCAACATCGCTATTCAACTCGTTTAGCAGCAATGTTGCAAGACAAGTTGCACGTTTTTTGTTGCCCGTTTTTCTGTACCTTAAATAAAACTTGTGGAAAGTCATATATCTGTGACTAGTTAATTGAATCCTATATCTCCAGGGAAATATTACTGCTGAAGGAAACCTTGGTCTATTACAAGTTGTTTTAAGCATTAATCCTGATCTCAAATCTATTCTAAGAAACAAGCATCCAACTTGTCCTTGGCTTTAAGACAGTACATTTATTTTCAGATAGCTCACGTCTCGATTTCACTGCAAACAAACAGCATATCTCACATCATTTTCACGTTTGCTACTATTTAATTTGTAGATACGAACGTTCGTCAACTTTTAAGACATGTTTTATTTTCTTATTTTATAAACATAAAGGTATCACAAAAAACATAATTCTGTATTAGTTCTTCGCTTTCCCTTACTGCTGTACAGTTCGAGGAGTTTAAGATCAACAAGATATGAATATGCAATGTGCATGATAACAGTGGTAAATCTGTTATCAGTCCAATAAACACTTCATAAAATCAACAGAAAGTGTTGTTATATTTTCGGAAGAAAATAACAAAACTTTTACAATAATATATAGATTTAGCCAGAGCTAAAAGCGAAGCTCTCGTTAATAATACTTATAAACAAACAAAATTAAATCGTGTAATGCTAAACGGGGACGGCAATGAAAATGGCATCAAGATCAATAGATCCTATTAGCAAAAAAACAAATTGCAAGTGCAACACACTTTTTGTTTTTCTTTTGCGTTCTTTTGCACAACTACAATGCTGTTTTGTAGGACTAAATCGTCAAACTTCCTAGTTACACATTATTTTTATGGAGGAATTGTCGTATGTGTTTACCCAATATTTTGTCTCCTGTGTTCATGTTCGCTTTCATTTTTCACTGCCCATCATTTTCACTTTGCTGGCCGCTGGCATTTCTCATTGTCTCACCGCCGCTTTGATTTTCATGTTTTTCTTCCTACAAAATTCGTCTCTTCCGTTTTCAATCACTCGCTCAAGCTCTTTCTCTGTTATCCAGGTGAGTGTAAACATCAAAAATAACGTCAAAAAAGACACGAGTTTGTTGTTTTTTCTTTCTTAAAGTCCGGGCGGCCATGCGATTTCTTTCCAAATAAAACCTTGAGTTGCATTTCGGTTGCCATACCTGTTGATTGAATTATTTTACATTGGTATGCCTGCGGTGCGGACGGAATCTCGGTCGGTGTATGGCCACGTGATTACCAAACTTCTTACCCATGGTGCTCTTCTGCGCGCGCTTCGCGCGCCAGAGCTGCGCAAAAAAAGAGTCACTCAGAAATATCGAAATCACCCTCAAAATAATCACTGAATTGATAACTATCTAGGTTAGTTTTGGAACATAAAACACTACAATACTAAACACTCATTGATCTTGGTGTTTTAAGGAATCTGATTGGTTCGCTATTTTGGATATTGAAATTCTAGAGTTTTGATTCGCTTAGCGATCATGCTCCGCGCCTCTTTAGTCTTCCGATGAAATTGCATTTTCTCTTGACTTGACGCGTAAACTGACCATATTTGGAAAGCACGGCATATGAGGCATTAGTAAAATCCGACTAATGGTCTATTATGAATGCTGCGTTCTGATTGGTTGAGCTATTACTAGGGTATATGTTATAGCCCACTGGTAGAGAAAAGCGCCGGCTTTTCGGCGGCATAAAAAGGATTGAAGTCTAGCTTTATTATATAAGCACTCGTTGGTTCGCTATCTTAGACTACGGAAAGTACAAAGTAAAATAAAATCGCTGTCGTGAACTCAATGTTTTGCTAACGTTTTAGGTTAAGAACTTTTTGAACATTCAAGAAAATCCTCGCGCTTATGTTACTTTAAAGTCTTTAAAAAACTTGAATTATTGTGAAGAGATTTACTGTAACTGACGTTTACGCTCGAAGTTGACTACAGATTTTGCCCAGAAATCCAAGTTAATTTATCAAGAAAAAGGATGAAAGCAACTCTGATTTTGGAAAACTGAATGTACCAGCAAAAACACAAGGCAAAGAACATTACAGATAACGCTAACCTCGATCGGAGCCACCGTTGTCAGCACTTAAAAGAAGTGACAAAATAAACCATTTTCATTAGCGAGTTGACAGAAGCATATAAAGCTTACATTTCTTCTTAGATGAGGTAGCAATTTAAACGTCTGACGATTACTTTTGAACTATTAATGCTATAGGTTAAAAAGAGATTGAAACTATGATTTCCCTTGTTTGAAGATACTGTAAAGGTTGAACTTTTGGGTACCTACTGTTAACGGCAAAATGTTCGGGAGCACCCAGCGTCAATTTTTGGAAAATATCTGTTCGGAAGACGATTTGAGATCTAGAATTTTAGGAACATTTGTTGTAAAATTTCTTGCTTGCCTGCCTCTCCTAGGATTTTCGAACACCTGAAAAATGGTATAATTGCCCATTTTTAAAGGATTTTTACCCTAAAGAGGTCACGTAGAATTTTCGAGAGCCTTTTTTCTGTCTGAAATTTTCGAAAAGGTAGGTTTTGATCCCTATAATTTTCGGATCTCTAGACTTTCAGCTACGAAATCCTAACAGATGAAAAATTTTTAGCGGATAAAAATATGCCTATATCTACCGCTTAAATACTAAAATACGTTGAACAATGCAATGTTTGAGTGGTTTTGAGCTATATTCTTGTTGGGTACCCCTAAATGTTCATGTATGAATAAACCAATCGAAGTAATCTTTTTAATGGTTTCCTTTCTGATACTGTTGAGATCACTTTGTGTATATATAACAATTATTCATCGAAGTGAATAGTGCAGGATATTCACTGATTGAGTAGCCAATCAGAGCGCGCGAAAAATACTGTCCACTGTTTTAGTATACAGCTAGTTCGAGAAAGGTTGTCGGAAAAAGTGCACGCGACAATCCAGCAAGGTAATGTGGGTGGTTTTTAATTCACTGTTTTTTCAAAGAATGGCCAGAGAGGCCATGGACGTATGTTTGCGAGGGCTAAAGGAAAGACACAAAATTAGGTTCGATAGCTACAGTGTAGGGAACACTGTATTGATCATATCCCATATTACCTTTCGGGGTTGTCGCCTGCACAGTTTTTGCAACAACCCTTCAATAAATACGCTGTATACTAAAACAATTATTCCTTTCAATCTCGCTGAATTGTGGCCTTATGAATGTTTACGTCAGCCCTTCGCAGCTCGGTAAATAGGCTGCCACTATTAATACACTTTTCCATTGTTTTGGACAGGTTATTATTTTCAATAAATGGAAGAGCAGGTCATTGAGGTGGAACAGGAGGAATAATAGCCTACTGTCCCACTTCAGTGACCACAATAATGACCTGCCGGTTTCAAAACAAAAGAATGGTGCATTAAATCGGATAATGCCCTCGCTCACTCGGCCTTCCCAAAAAATAATAACATCGCGCTCGTCATTATTTTAAAGAAGGCGTCGCAACTCAGCCATTATCCTATATTTCACCTTCATTGCAAAGAATAATTTATTTTAAATAAGTCAGCAATATTCCGAATGAATAATGCACGAGCTCGGTGTTTTGCAAATTTTTTAGAGTAAGAACCTTTCAAAAATCGACAAAATCCTAAGGTTGGTGTTTTGAATGTAGGAAAAGGAATTGACAGAGCTTTCCAATTTACTTAAGCAGAATTTTTTGCTCCATGGAATGTTTACAACTACATGTTCTACTCTGGAGCAGAAGAGGCCGTTTTTTGAACTCATCATTACCTAAAAAGATGAACTTTGGGCAGAAATCGAAAGTAAAATGAAAGCAAATCTTTACCAAAATTAAACATTTGATTTCATGTAAACAGGACAAAGAATAATACTGAGAAACGACACCTTACCTTAAGCAACCGAGCCGCCATTGTCTGCACTTGAGAAGAACGAAACCTTTTTTTCACAAAACGTGGCGTCTCGAACACCCAAAACATGACATCAACAAATCATGCAACAGGAGACTATTGGCAAAATTTCAAGATCAGGGTGATCCGGGGGAAACCATTCACCAGATCACAAAATAAACCCTTTGAATAAAAAATGGCTTTCGAAAGCAGCAAAGCGAAATAAAGGCCTTTAACTTGAAATCTGGATTGTCTTCAAAAATTTTCAAAAACAGCTACATCAATGGTCTTATTAGAAAAGTCTTCGATAACCAGAAGAGAAGTATTGCCAGATATCTGTAAATTGTGTATTTCACGCACCAAACTAACGGCGCGAATGGAAATCACGAAATTTCGGCAATCCGTAAAACCACAATGATATATACGGACACATTTTTCTCACTACACGGGAAAATTGAAAAACGGCCTGTCAAATGACTTCCAGCCGGCCTATTTTGCATTATCAGCCCTGCAGCTGGCTCAGGTTGTTCAAACGTAGGATAGCGCTATCCAACGGATAAATCGCGATCAAGTGGATAAGTATTAGGGAAACCAATTGCGCTGTCTATTGAATGAATCTGACAGCGCTTTCCATCTTTCGAACAAATGGGACCTGATCAGCGCATACGATAAGTTTTGATTTATTGAGGTACTTGACATTGCTTAAACAGAGAGCAACTAAAATTACGTGCAGCAGCGTTGAAGCAAGTCTTGACGTACACCTGCCGAAACTCAATAAATACAAAAACTTAAATTCAGCAATAAGTATATGATGAGCGCTCCAGTACTAGCCGAATCGCCTTTGGAAAGAGTTTTTAAAACAAGTCAGCTTGAAGCTTTCTATATTAAATTGACAGCGATCCATTTGTGTTTTCAGTTCAGCTTTTTTTTGTCACATATCGTGCTCCTGCAAATGGTGTCTTGCTAAATGTCAAATGTGGGTTACTCATTTATTAATAAATCGCTCCTCATATCAGTAAAAGATTATTTTAATTCAGCATAGAATTGCTTCATTTTAATACCTCGACCAGAATGACTGAATTCAAGTAAACGTCTTGATTCTCATTTCTAAGACCATTTCCTGGGGAGGGTTTTTGTTCCGTCGTATCCAATACCCCAGTTCTGCAAGTGGAATTTTGACTTCCCTTTCTTTCTCAACATGGCTTTAAAAACAGTTCTTGTTATAGGCGCAATTACACATACAAGAAATCGCAATTCCAAATGCAAGAAATCGCGGTCGAGTTTGCATTTTCTAGACAACAGAAAATGAATAACTTTTCCTCGTAAAAACGATGATAGCAAGTTATGGGTGGAAGTGATCATTGTTTCTTTTTTGGTTGCAGTAGCGATCGAAGATGTCCTCACAGCAAACAATAATTGTGTAAATCTTCTCAAAACTCGAACTGTTCTTTTTGCATGACTAAAAATCGTCGTCTCTTTTGGATAGAATAAACAAACTCGACCGTAATTACGCGTATTGGCAAGCCTTATCACTTGTTTGCCGCACTAAATCACCACGCTACGTTGCTTTCATACCATCAATCCTAAAGCCCGGTCTGTTGTACCCCACCAGAGATACAACATCACGTGATCAAAGCAAAGTGGAAAGTGACGTGAGAGACACTGTCAGACACTGTCAGTTTGTTTTGTTCTTTATTCGTTGTCGCTGTTGAAGTGAAGGTCGAGGAATATAACAAAAGACTTTGTCTCGGGAAACACAAGGACTCTCTGGATTCCCGAGGGACCTCACATCAAGTGTGTTGTGTTGCATTCGCAAAAAAAGTGTTTTTCAGAACTTAAGTGTTATGTTTCTGGGAAACGTATCGCGGGACATTCTAGAAACCTATAAGATTTATAATGCAGTGGAAGCTAACGGACACTCTGGTAAGCGGACAGCTCTACTAACGGCCGCCTTCACAAAACCCCGTTTTCCACAACTCACATACGAACTCTGTATTTTTCCATTGATTTCCCGTAAGCGGCCAGCTCCAGTTAAGGACACCCTTTTTATAAACAATATTTATTACAACATTTGCTCTAAGAGCCTTAAGGGCTCATCTAGAGAGCTTACGCTGTTTACATTTGAATATTTTAAAAATACAAATGGACTTCACGATCGAACACACACACAAGAAAAAACGAAAGAATAAAAGAAAAAAACAAACAGACAAAAAATATCTATATAAATAAATAACACACCCAGCAACTAACAGAAGCGATTTCATAGCGAAATAAACGACTGGACAACCTAAGT